ACTAACAGGTTGAAATTACTCAAGAAATCTGCTCCGAGGATGGCGTGACTGACGTCGGCTACTATGAAAATCCATGTGAAACGCCGACGTAAACCTAGATCCAGTATGAGGGATTGCTCTCCATACGTCTGTATGCTTGTGTGGTTAGCTGCCCGGAGAGACAGTTTTCCGGGTGTCCGTGTAGATCGCCTGGATAGTGAAGGAGGGATTACGCTAACTTCTGCTCCCGTGTCTACCAGGAATAAAGTGTCTGAAGTTTTATCCTTCACATAGAAGAGGCGACTTGTTTGCTTGCCAGTAACAGCTGTCGCCATCACTGTCTGGCTGAGGCGTTTCCCTGAGCCTGGTTGGCTTCGCTAAAGCTGCACGGTTTTACACATTTCAGGGCATGACGTCCAAACTTCCAGTGATACCAGCATATATTGCTATCCCGAGAAGACGTGTAAGAACGCTGTCGTGAGAAGGATCGTCGTCGTGATGGTGACCTTCTTTGTGAACTCCGTCTCCGGACTTGTCGATCAGACTTATTAGTTTCCAAATTGTCAATCCTTGCCGCTAAGTCTGCAATGGCGGCGAGTATCGGTGTGTCTGCCGTGGGTGTGGAATGACACGGTGTGGCACTATCAGATGCTACGTGACTTATGGTGTTATCGGATAAAACATCCATAATACTATCTGCCATGTCACTTAGTTGGTCTAAGTCATACGACTTTCCTGAGATGATTAAAATTTGCTGGACATTTCTAGGTAAACGTTGCAACCACATCTGTTTCAGCACTACCTCGTCTACTTTATGATGTCCGATTAACTGGCGCATGTGCCTGAGCAGCTGGGATGGTTTACGTGGGCCTAGTTCACAGCCTGTGAGCAATTGTTGGATTCTTTTCTCATCCGACAAACTGGTACGTTGTATGAGGAGGGCTTTAAGTTTATCAAATTGATGTTCCGTCGGAGGATCTTCGATGAAATCGCTGATTTCTGTCAATACTGACGGAGGGAGTTCTGCCAGCACCATACCATATTTGGCTATTTGGGACTTAATGCCCCGTGCTTCTAGCAACGGTTCAATTACCGCAAACCAAATCCTTGGTTCTGCGAAACCGTATTGGGGTAAACGAAAATCAGTGATGGCATTTATTGTGGCATTTGTCTCGCTATTAGTTGTCTGCTCGTTTGATGTACCGGACTGAGGTGATGACATTATAAATATGAGGTTATTGGTGCAAATTAGGATACAAATATAAACCACACACAAAATCACAATGAATATACAAAATAGCAAAAATAAGAATATGAATATGCCAAAATAATCCGTGTTCTTATCGGGCTCACCAATTAATTTGTAGGGGACTAATATTAGAGTTCACTAACATTATAAATATAAGAATAATAATCCAAGTCAATGGAGTGTTAAATCACAATATATTACCAAAAATGCAGTGACGAGTTGTATCAACAAAAAGGATTACTTGGATATAAAGTCTAAGTCCTCTGCTACAAATTAATTATATAATCCACGGGTACGTTAATTGATTGGGTTTCGTCTGCTGTAGCTGCTGTGTTCCGGTTGTAGAAATGTCTTCGGTTGAGAGTAGTAGACTCCTACAATAAATCCGAAGTATACAACACGGTGTGAGTGGAGCAAGTAAGCAGAAGTGACCAGGGAGAAGACGAAGTCTCCAACAGCAGAGTTTATTTTCCAATTGTACACGGAAGTTATGTATATTTCAACAAGAAGCGTTTTAAACAAAAATTATGTACAATATCTCGAATTTATACAAATAACCAAAAAGTGTACAATCACATTGTTACGTACTCTACAAGTGTAGTGAGTCTAGTCCTCTGCTTGGTGCAGACTAAATTCTATCAGTCAAGTTTGCAATGTGACCAGCATTCGAGATGGCTCGCCGTCACGTTGCTTTTTGAAATTGTTGATATTAGATGGCTGAAGACAATCAGAAGGAAGCCTTGTACTAACTAGTTTCCAACCAAAGTATCCAATATAGTCCTACAGGAGTTCCATCGTGAGCCCGAATAGCTCAGTGGTCACGTCTCTAACTGCGGCTATAAATTACGTAGGTTTGAATCTCACATGAGATGCGAGTTTCTTCAAGGTTGCAGACACGCCTTGCTGATGAGTGCCAACTAGCTTGTTACCAAGATTCAAGGATTCCTACCGATTGCCTCCAACCATATAAAATTAAAAAAGCCATTATTATTATTTTCAGACGTTTTTACTTTATTTCTACAACAAGAAGCCTATATCACTATGATGTGATGGTTCAATCTCTGAATCATACACGAATCAACTGACTAGAATTGTTTATAAAGTGGTGGCATATACTACTGATTGAAATGAGCATTTGAAAGCCATTCACGTCAATCAGTATTGCTTGTCAGCCAATTTGAAATTATCTGAACAACAAAGAGTCGAGCTCATCTATAGCTGGATGACCGGAATGTATAATAAACTCATAATACATGCATTTAACCCATTTTCGAAACAAATGAATTTTTGCATAGAGGTTGCTTAGAATATAAGAAAGGGGACACATTGTCCCATCATAGCTACATAACAGTTTAATACCTGAGATCCTCTGCACCAAAGTTATATGAAGGCAACATTAACCCTTATGCATAAAAAACATGAGAGAACCAGATGTTTTTAAGGCCAAGATAAAAGTACAATGATCAAATCTTTACCCTTCGACTTTGATGTTCACAAACTGAGCTGACGATAAAACACATTTAAATACTATAATATAGCAATGCATCTTACACGGTCGATCATCATATAGTTTGAAAGAAACTAGTACATGCCTGTTTTCATCACAATCCATTATGATGAGTATGAACCCTGGAAATTGATCAGAGAAAATACCTGCAGAAAATCAGTGAAAACGATTCCACTTTTGGTATCTTCAACATAACACTAAATTATTCAAATGTATATGATTATACGTGTAACAGAACTTAAATAAGAAATCAATAAACGGAAATAAAATGAATCGATATGCCTGTTGTAACAACAGTAGAGAAAAAAGTTAACTATTTTATATCTGATCATTATTTATGAGTCATACAAGTCATATTTGTATGTGATGAAATTGTTACCAAAATTATCTCAGACACAATTTCGACAAATCGTTAAGTGAATTTATCTCAACTTTACGACACCACTCACATCAGAAATTAGTATTTGATAGCAAGGGTGGCCGTGGTTGAAGTCATAAACGGTTTAGCCCTTTTTCACTCTTCTCAGATAACTGAATCAGTTCAGACAACCTGAGCTCTAGATCTCCTACTTCTTGGATGAACTGGTGATACATAGAGTCGAATTCGCTATTTACAAATTACATAGAATCCGGGGACAGCTTTCACTATAGTTCCCTTTGAAAAAAATGGTTCAGATTACAGTCTATGATCTGAATGGTTGAAAATCACTAGTGGCAGCAGGACTAGTTAGTCAGATCGAAGTGGTCCAAGTATCGGATGGTCGATTCCTTCGTTTATCGATTTCTCACCTAGAAATATGTAATTTTCTGAAATCGAAGTGGATTCGATTATTATTTGCATTTCTAACCAACGATCCTTATAATGTTTGTGTGGTACTGTGTAACAAACGAAACTGCTAACAAATTCTTAACCTAATCATGAGTGAGAACAAACTTCATATTTAGAAAAAATATTCATTTGAATTCTCACCGATTACATTTTACAGAATATTAAGTATGGTAGGCTTTGGCCTATACTGATCCCCTTGAATTAATGTACAGTCAGTCGAGATCCCATTTTGCTTTGAACAAATCAACAGATGGAGTAGATACGACGGGTTGCATTTGAAAATCCCCTATTTCACAATTCCAAATGAACTTTCAGATATCCACGAACTTCAAAGTGTTGTACTCTTAATTGGTTATTTGTAGACGGGAAAAATAGATAGGATAAATTAGTACACAAATGACTGCATAAAATATAGAATGCAAAAATGAAGTCATCCCACCACACTATTGCTTGTTTAATTTATCACTTATGTTGGATAAATTCGGCTACTACACTTTATTCATGTATTGATAGTGTTAGAGGACCGATTCTAAGCGAAGAAATCTTCAACTAACTGAATACTCTTTCATCCAGTGAGCTCAAATCTAGTCGATATTTTAGCTTCTCGGTCTTTTAATCATCATTCATGTATACATATAAAGTATATCAGTAGAAGATATCCTACAAGGCTGAATATTCAGTAATTTAATTGATAGTTTCAGATCCAGTTTAAATGCTTGAAATATACTGTCGAAAGGAGACAGTCTAAATGAAACTCTACACATGGCTTCATTCTTGTTGGCTATTATTATTAGTAATGTGTTTCTGTAAAATGAGAGGAACTTTTGTCTTCCTGAAGGTTTGAACTTTTTACACTTCTACACTCCAAAGTCTGACATTATAACTCAAAAATTAGAAATAAAAGAACAAATTGGTCACATCGCTTCCGTAAAACAAAAACAAAACCTGTTAAATAATCTGAACAACAAATAAATGGATAACTATTCCATCCTATACTGTCGTTAAAACTCTATCTCCTATTCGTTAAATAATATCAGTGAACTAAGAAATGGAAGAACTCCAGGATGTATAATATTTAAAAATGCTCTAAACTTTCTTGTTCTTATTTTTCTTAACTCTGACAGACTGACAGGTTGATACTAACCACTGAATTCTTAGTTCAATGATATCACCTTTCTCTTTTAGCATTTGTGAATAGATTTTGCACCTTTGAACAACCAATAGCATATCATTTGGTTTCTTTAACCTTGGCCAGAATGCTTAGTGTATCAGTTTACAATCGATATATATGATAATTTCTTTCTGATAGAAATATATACACACAATTAGTGCGACCATAATATCTATTAGAATGAAGATAAATAAATCAGAGTAGATGTAGAATTATTCAGGTTGTATCGTCATCATTACATTCACACTGCAACCATCAAAACAAAATGTTGTCTAATGAGAATGATTCAAATTACTTCTTTTTCGATCAGATTAAACCATTAAAACAAGATCGAAACTTCGCAATTAAACACTACGTTGAATATGAAACTTATACTGTTCAGAATAATTTATCAACGGTTAAAGAATTAAAATCATACTCCCAAAACGTTAACGATTCAGCAGTAGCAGCGAGAAAGAAACAGACATCAGCAGACATTAGTTCAAATCTCAATAATTATAGCAATAATAGTAATACTTCAACTATAATGACAAAAATCTGTCCCCCTACAAGACGTTTAACAGATGATAAGTCAATTTCAAAACAAATAAATTATTATACTTGGGTTGAACATAGTGAACAGATAGTACGTGATCTTTCAAGGCTGTTACATAATCAAAATGTGAAGGCGATAAAACGTCCCAGGATATTAGATTATCGTTTAGATGCAACATGGGAGGAGTTAATTGCAACAACAGATGATGAAATGCCAAGGGATTGGCAAGTGCCTACAATTAAAAATGCTTTTGATTTGTGGATTCAGGTAAGCAGGAGAAGAATATAACACAAATTGATTGACGCTCATCCATTTTGTAGCAGTCATCAATTGATCTGTAAGTAGTTGGAATTGCGCAAATCACTCAGCTACATAAACTGTAAGAAAAGATGTTGAGTGGGGATACTTTAATTCTTAGGCAATTTTTCCTCGTATAATTCTCTGATGATCAGGAAGCCTGAATAACTGTGTATTAATGTTTATTATTATTATTCTTTTCTTGAGCTTCGAGTTGAATATTAAACTTCAGCAGTACATCCCCCTTGCACCCAGTCCTCTGTCATCACTTTCAGCTGGCTTTATGACTGCACACAAGCTTTCACTTCCTCTCCATATGATCTTCACATCACCCTCACTGACTGAAGTAGTCTGTTTGTATTCGGGTTCCACTCGAAGGCTTGTTGTGAGATTTCACTTGAACGTCTCCTCTGCGTAAGTCCAGTCCATCTCTGTTTATTTCTGCATATTTGTTGGGCTGGTTCTCTGTCTGCCAGAGTATTTAGTTACTTATCCTTTCTGGTAGACCATCTGATCTTAAGTATAGAAAGAGGGCATCTGTTGACAAAATTCTGCAACAAGGTATCGAAAATGCTTACCGTGATGTGCATGCCAAGTCTCTGAAGCATATGGAGCCAGGAACTTGACACTAATGTTGCAAATTTGGATGACCAGTTCCAGCCACTTAACATCAATCTAAGGTGGATTACAGAAACTAATCACCAAGTTTTTTGATCACAATGCAAAATTATTTGATATAAGTCCAGACAATAATAGATAAGCCATCCTTTTGTGAATACAATAAGCTCAGTATTGCAGGAGATCGATGGCTACACAAGTAATTCAGGCAGAAAACCTCTAAACAGAATGTGGAATGGACCTACTTCAAGAGAGGGGGGGTATTGGTTGTCTCATCTTACTAATGATTTGCAACATGTTTCAAACATCTACTTATAGATACCTGTCAGTCATCAACAGTTATCTAATATGATTTATTTCTCTTCTGCTTAACATTATGTTATTATACAGTAGCAGAGAAGAGTCAATAAAAAGTAACTTAATTGACCCATTGTGTTGGCATTAAAGTAACCAAACCTAATCTGAACGAAGACCTGTTTGATCTAAATCTATTGTCAGTTGACAAAAACTAATAATGTAATGATTTTTTAACTGTAACATAAATGCTTCAAAGGATTCCACCTGTTTAAGTGAGCAGTAGCTGAAATTGAATGAGTATTGGGTATCATTTATCTGCCTTCTTTAGCAATATCAAAAACCTAAAAAAATCATACGTATGATTTATACAAATAATTTTCAGCACATACTTCAATTTGAAGTGAGCTTTTAGATTTCTCCACGAGTTTATTAATCATCTCTCCTGGTGACCTTGGACATGACTGGTTGTTTTTGTGTGTTTTCACACCTTCTAGGTAAACAAATAAGAATTGTATCCATGCCAACTAGTGTATATAAATGCGACTGTACAGCTTTTGATAATGACATTGTCATTACAAATATGTGATGACTGCTTACACTTTTCTATTGGAACGAATATCTATGATTATAGTGACGTTTATTTTAATTGCATTTCATACTATTTTTATTTCATGCATTCACACTTTTGATTCAATTCCAAGACCGGATATAATTTTTAGAAACTCCATATATATATATATATATATACAGCTTGTACAGCTTGATGATAAGTTCGTTGAGAAGAGTCTCTTCGTTGGATATTGTGTTCTTAATGCTACAATGGGAATTATTAAATTATTAAACAAATATCTACCGACACGTGACCATCAAAGAAACTCACTTCAATTTATGTAAATTTTTACTGTATATTTTGATGGTTAATAAAATCTGAATAGTTCTGCTGAAGAAGCTGTGGCTTACACAGCGAAACGTTCGGGAAATTCTTGTTTTGATTTTTCTTAAACACTCTGGGATTATTTTAAATAATGTCTAATGATTCACTCTGTGTCAGCGCTCAAATTTTTCCAAGGAATTAGTAATATCTTTGGTCTGGAAACGTATAATTAGTCGCAGTAGTCTCCTTTATATTGATATTTAGTGATCTAAAGCAGTTTGAGGACGAACTTTAACTATATGTCATCAACATGCATGCAGTGTTTCATGATGGCGAGTTTGCAGGCAATCCAACCGGATCGCGAAGTCGGTGGAACCATTTAGATTAGCCTTCCGTGGCCAACCGGTATAAAGTAAACAGAACTATAATTATCTGTTATCAATCTAGTTACTTAACCCATCAGTCCTCTGGATTTTCTAAAACAAATATTAGCAAGAAACGGTCCGTGTTAAATTATTGTTACCAGCGTTAGATAATATTATGGAGAAAATTGTACTCAATACACTGATTAACTGCTAAGACTGTTGATACGGAATTTCTTCGCATATATCTTAAGACTATCTTAGAATGCAGAAATATGATTTTCAATCGTTAACGTGACTGAAATGTTTTATACATCTCCCTATCAATATCTAATACATTTGGTCATGGCTTCCATAAGCTGTGATTTCCTTTTGAATAGAACACTAAATAATATAACTATCATGTTTCCTCGGCATGCTTGCACGTTTCTAGGTCATGTGTTGAATAGAATAAGCAACTAGACCACAAAATGTCACTTATCTTTAGAAAATAATGACATATTTTCATTTTAATAGAGTAAAGCTTTTTATAGGCAAGATATAGAACAGGAACTGAAATACGAAATGAAAACTTGTAAGACTAACTACTATGGCTAACTTCCAGCTACCTGCTTGGAGGTGGCCAGCAGCAGAATCCGGGAGGCGCGTTTCAACTTACATGGGAGTCGTCAGCTGCATGCACGTGCTCACCAGTGGTTGATAATGTCCCGACTTAAACTCAAACCCGTTCCGAATTGTTTCCGCTGCTCAAGGGTGAACCTCGTGATCCAGTAGTCTATTAGGTAACACTTCGTTGAGTCGGAAATAGCACGAAACACACTTTCAGTCGCCGCCAACCGCCGGTAACGTTGGGTTTTTAATCGTGCTGATATAGAGGCATCTGTTCAAGGAACTCGTATAGCAAAATAAAGCTGGTCAGTTCCATCAGACGTATGAATGAAAAACCACATATCTGAATAAATATGTTTCATACTTTTAAACAACTCTATCTTGTTCTACAGATTCTCTAGACATTAAGAGGAACACTCCATTATAGTTAGACTTCTGACAGCCACTACTTTTCCTCCTATCGGAGATGTCAATGGACTGCACAACAACCAATAGTGAAATTTTTCAGTGTCCTATTCAAGTTTCATTATTCATAACATTAAAGATTTCAGATATCCTAAATAGCATTTCACGAAGTCGAAGGGCGTGAAGCGAACGATTTAAAAGCAAAAAACAGGCAGCAAAGACAGGACTTTAAGTGAACATTAAGAAAACAGAAGTGATGAAAATGTCTCAACAACAACAACAAGCACAAATCGCCATCAACGGGACAAATTTGAAGGAAGTCACCTCTTTCACTTGTCTAGGCAGCATCATTTCAGCCACACGCGGCATGGATGTCCATATTAGAGGCAGGATCGGCACAGCAAGACAGGTTTTCATTAATATGAAATTAGTGGGGAGGTCTATTGCACTCAGGATGAGGAGCAAGATTAGGATTTGTAACACAAATATCAAGTCAGTAGGCTGCAGACTTTCATTAACAGGTGGCTTGGCTTGACCCTGAAGATCATATGGCTAGAGAGAATTAGCAGCAAGGAACACTAGCAACCAGCAGACTAAGAACTGTCGCCCACCAAATATGCAGAAATAAATGGATGTGAATCGGACATACACTAAAGAGACTGCTGAGTGACACCACGGACGAAGCAGGTCTTAGAGTGAGTGGGAAACTGTGAGTTGGGCGTCGCTTCGAGAGTGACATGGAGGAGATGATGTGAGGAGGAAATGAAGGCTTATGGGAAACCCTGGGGCCGGGTGAGAAAGAGTACATAGAACAGAATGAAAAGGGGACATGTTGTGGAAGCCATATGTTCTACTCGGACTCCAAGGGAATAATAATAAAAATCACTAACTTTACATAAAAATGTTTAGCGGAACACATGAAGTCAGTCTTGAAGTTGGTAAAGATGAAAGCTTTAAGAAACGAAGGTGAATATTACAGGCTATCGGTTAGTTAAATTACTGTTGCCTTTATTCTTCTGTGTTTCAGTGAAATGAATATCACTCTTACCACGTTGTCATGATTCTCACTTAAATATCATATTTTATTGTTGAGTCTGTCGGCATCCACGATATCCCTTTACCATTCAATTAAATAAGTTTTAAACTGAACTGGAACTTTGGACACAATTATCTTAAAGGCATTCTATACGCTACTGACTAAATGGTGTCCACTAAAGTTGCTTAGGCAACACAGCCAACATGACTGACAAGTTGCGTAATCATCCCGGTAATGCTTATATATATATATATATATATATATATATATATATATTATATGATGGTATCACTTAGGTGTTTTCTAAGTTTTTCTTCACCAACGGGGTTATTCAAAAATATGTTGAAAAATCTTCTCACTGTCTGGGTAAACTGATCAAGAAACCACTTGTACCCCCTCGATCGAAGGTTGCAGATAAATATTTAGTCGACAAATCAAGTAGAAAACATAAATTAACTATGATAACATACAAGGTACATTCAATCATGTCTGTTTCTTTATTTAAGTGTCATCTGCTTTCGAATCTATTTTCTGTGCTGTTTTACTTCCGAATAATGTAGATTTCATCTTGAACTGACGTCATTTAGAGAATCACTGAAAAGCAATGAAAAGTGAACAGAATACACTACTGAAAATTGCTAGACTAGGAAAAAAACAGCGATCCAATGTTACCTGATTTTCAATGAATCCCTAATTGATTTTAATTCCTGATCAGACCTACTTAGAAGTTAATAAAATTCGCTAAAAATCTTAAAACTGAAAACAAAGTTAGTTTTCTTAAAAGCTAAAAGATAGGTTTAGAAAATAGTAAATTATGTTGTTTTTGTGAATACTATGAAATTTTACGAAATACTAGTGTTTGTTATAAATTATTTAAATTAATCCCAGCGTGTTAAGAAAATCAAAACAAGATTTTTCTGAACGTTTCGCCGTGTCAGCCACAGCTTCTTCAGCAGATTTATTCGGATTATAATTAATCATCAAAATATATAGTCAAAAATTTTTTACATAAAATGAAGTCAGTTTATTTGAAGGTCATTTCTCTATGAACATTTTTTTACCAATAGAAGTATGTAAGCTGTCCTCACATATATTTGTAATGACTAATGTCAAATTGTTGTTGTGTTTACTTCTCTATAGTTGACTTGTAAAGATTAGATTTGTATGCGTGTGTGTGTATGTATGTTATTTGTCATATGGAAAATACGTGAATTCAAATGTGATAAACGTGTCACTACATGTTTTAAAGGTCATGGAGGCTCATAGAGTGTTTGTTGTTTTTTCATTTGTCTTGCTTCATAAGAGTTTGCCATATAGGTGATAAGTCGTTACCTTCCTTCCTATTCACTGCATTTGATGTGGCTAAAATGTGCAAGGCTTCTGAAGTCAATCTTTCTTTATGTGAATGAAATCCTCTTCCAAGAATTTCGACATTGTCAAAATCAATCTTATGTCCGCTGTCTATCGCATGTATTGCTATAGCCGATCTTTTTTCTAGACTTTTTAATTCTACTTCATTTCTAGGTGGACGTTTCGTGCAAAGTCTATGTTCATTCACTCTGACTTTCACCTGCCTACTGCTCTCCCCTATATAGCATGCCTCACATTCTGAACACTTTATCTTGTAGACACAATTACTTTGTGACATTTTGGGAACTATATCTTTAACATGCACTAAAGCTTTCTCTAGAGAATTAGAAGGTTTGACATAGACTTTAATATTATATGCAGCAAATAGTCTTTGAAGTTGTTCAGCTGTGTCTTTTCGATATGGAATGGTCATCGTCGATAGCCAGGATTTTTCCACTTTTTGTTTTTCTTTGTGCTCCTTTCTATTGATGATATTGTCTAGTAGCTTTTCAGGATAACCATTTCCAATCAAAATCTGTTTTATATTGGTTATCTCTTTCTCCATATCGTCATTATCAGTTATAATGTTTGTTTGTTGCTAAGGGATGAGTATGAACGCGGAATTACCTATGCGTTAATTTACTTTGCAACAGCAATTTTTTCATTCCATGCATTCCGAATGAAATGTAGAGCATCGAGCTTGAAGTTTCAGCAGCATCAGAACTGCTTTTTATGCCTTACCCTCCTTCTTTTCATGGTTAACTACTGGCTTGTGAGCTGAGCGAGGTTTAGGAGGGCGTTGGTTGAGAATCAAACCTAGAACTCCAGCACGGCTAGCTTTCAATCTGCTGTTGAACCACAATAACAGTTACTGAGGATTAATTTAGTGATTTAGACATATATTTGCTTAAATGAAAGAAATCTCAGCAGGTGGGATATACTTATAAGTATCCTGAATAGTTTGTTTAATTTTTTGAGAATGTGAATTTTAATAGAATTTTATTTATTTTAATTGATTTCCTCATGCTGTTTGTCCTCCTTAAAAGTTCTTTTCTGCTACCCTGCTTGACTCATTTTTCGCTTTTGTCAATTATCTTTCATAATGTGAATATTTTAAAATAATTCTCAGCACCTACGGGAGTAGCTGAACCATTTTAAATCTACTGATGGTCACGAACCTGTCACCTAAACGTTTTGGTAATCGAAACCGATAGTCTATCTAGTGAATGTGAAAAAGCCAATCACCTTTTATGTAGGTAGTGTTACATTTAAAACGTGTGTTTTCATTCTTTGGCTTTCTGAGTGAGAAGTAGGACTTCAAGTTTGAGTTTTGAATTTTCAGTAACAGTGGCGATTTTCTAAGGAGTGGGGTCGATCGCCCCACTTCATCTTAAACAAGCTTGCTATCAGCTAAACGAGTTGTAAGAGTTCGTCTGTTGGGAATCGAATCCATATAACGTATAATTTAAGTTTATCACTAATGACGATTACTGTTCCTGATCCGGGGAACCGAATAATTCTTGACTCTGACCCTAGTTTAACCTGAACGTCGACTCTATATCTCATCCCTAAACATAGGTAATTAGAATGAATACCGACACTCTTTTAGATATTGGAAGTTAATTTCGCAAACATTTCTAGTAAAGAAGATGTTTAATATTCATGTACTTCTTTAAACACGTTTTACACTAATAAATTACTTTTCATAAATATCAGCGTGACACCCTATAACTGGTCACTTCAATCAAAGTCAGTGTGTTGGCCGTTAATTTGGATCAATGTAATTTAACTTTACATATTTTTCTAATGCATAAGAAAGGAATCTAGGTAAGCCTCACACTAAGTTGTTCCGATGGGCTACATAACCAATCAACATGCATGATAAGTTCAATCCTACTTATTTATAAAATAATTTGTTAATTCAAATTTTGTTAACATAAATTCAATAGCAAACTGCGTGAGGGAGGGGCTTTCCTAGACAATAAAAACACCATTTTTGTCCAATAGTATTCGAATCTATTACTTAAACCCTAACGGAGTAGTACTAAATTCATTGTTTAGTCTCTAAATAGGAGTCCATAATTCATATTTTCAAGCTGGTATAGCACAAGAAAGTAAACAGGCGAATTCTCTAAGTTTGCAGGACAAATGATCAAAACAGTATACTTGACTAATTTGAATTAAACAGTGTATCATATGACATTTTTGGTGGTAAAAATCATGAGTATATTCTTAATAACAAAAGCTATCAACCCCAAGTGCATCAAAATCATAACCTCCAATCAGAAGACTGTGTTTGTTTACTTACAATAATCTATGATAATGTACATGAAAATATATAAATATGTGTTGATTTCTTAAATAAACGATCTGTGGCCTGGCCCTTGTTTTCTGTTGTTACAGTACTGTATCCCGAATATTAAGGATTGAGGGATTATCTATCACTGGTTTCAAACTCAGCAGGTGAATGGTAGTATGGTTTATGAATTACTGAAATATGAGTGTACACAGCTGATTGAAACAGAACTAACATGATTAAGTTATCTCCTGCATTCTGTTTCTCACTAGTTCTTTAGCTTGCTTCGTTTTGGGACTACAAGTGCTCTGAAATCAGTTGATTTCTGTAAAATCTAAGCTAGATGGCATGTTTTGTTTGAATTATCACCGGTGGCATTCAGTCTTTTCATAGACATTCGATTATTACCGATAAGTAGTAATAAAATTTATTTATTTTATTTTTTCGATTTACAGCTTGATTCCACACTGTAGTTTTGGTACAAGTATGAAATTTTTAGCATGGATATCGGTAGCCCAAATTTTCAGGCCGACCATAGATATCAGGTGTGAGTCGGCAGGGGATCGAACCTCGGACCATGTGTAAGGTAGGCGAGAGTCCTAACCACTGTGCCACCGACATAAATTGGATATATTTATAGACATCCGAAGGGTTTTTATAGAAAGATAAGAGAAGAGCATTCAGCTGGGTCAACAGCTGCACTGTCTGATATTTTAGTCTTTTTCGTTAACTATTCACTCTTGAAATGTGAGTTGCCTTAAGAAGGAAGTCGATATAAAATCGATACCGATGAACTTCTGACAAACACTTATGGCTATTTCATAATAAAGTTAGAACTTGAATTTGATTTCCTTTAGTAAGAGAATACCAACTTCAATGAGCAACAGATCGACTAATTGTTGGTCGTTTATTCTTAGACGGTGACTATTAGAACAGTTTGTTGAGATATATAACCATCAAATGACTTTAAGCAACCAGTCAGAATGTGGAAGGTAGCAGCTCTTAAATTTGTTCATAAGCTCTATGTTTAAACATACAGAGTGGTTAATTTACACAGGATAATTCAGCCTTAGACTAACATAACTTCAGTCCTACAACTAACAATGATGGAAAGACCAGATCAGAAGTGAGACCGTGGAAGTTAAGCGAGGATAGCATTCATTGCTAATGATGTCATCGGTTGCCTCAAGCTCATTCTGAAGGTTCTTATTGGTGGCGGTCTTCTCAGAGTATGTCCAATCCATCTCCATTTTCTCTTTCATATTTATTTGGCAATCGGTTGTTTATTGGTTCGATTTAGATTAGGTTTTCTTCTTGCTAACCCTTTCCAGCCATCTAGTTTTCTGTATGGAGAGAAGAGGGCAGGTGTTGATAAAATCTGCAGGTTGTTGGAATTGCCTGTCATGACGCACTAAATCTCTGAAGCACTCATTTACAAGTACTCATTGGTCTGACACTAGTACTGAAGATTCAGATCTTGTTTCTTATGTTGAGTGGAAAAGAGTTGCAGAGCGATTTCAGACTAACAAATGTCTTTCTTTTTCGATCCTAGATGGCCTGAAAATCGACATTTGTGTCGTCTGTAGTTGAAACGAAGGTGCCCAGATAAGTTAATAGAACGGCGGTGACATTTGACTGACAGACTCTGTATCCAGTTATCCATTTTAATTAATATTACATTCTTTTTAAATTTCTTAGGAAAATCCTCCTGAGGTTAATGCCTCTGGAATGAAATGTGAGACAATGAAAAAGATGAATTATTTGTATGGCTTTGAAAATGCTAACTTTCATACACCATCACCACGTAGTTCACTCTTCCGAAGAAGATCAAGCAAATCAAGTATAACGAATTTCGAAAATAAAAACAGTTCACAAAAATCAAATGATGAGAAGGCTAATGGTTAGTTAGTTTTTAGTTTTAAGATCACATAATTAGGTGATTATCTCTTTTTTGAGTGGGTGAGGTTTTTTGCATGATTTCAGTGTGTATCTTACCAGTTGTCTTACTGATGTAAGGAGAAAGTAGGGAAGACAACATTGGAATATTAACCTACTGTAAATTAGTAACTGACTCCTGAAGCAGAAATCGTCAGCAGTGACCTCCACCAAGCTGAATGCGAAAATAGGTAATATTGAATTTGCACGGTGTTGGATTTTTATCGCGAATTGGAGGAAGTTAGAATTCATGGTTCCGAGTCACACAATTCTCACCTCGTAACCTAAGGGCCATGAGTTCAGCTTCTGTTGGAGTAGTGAGTAAGTAGTTCTGAAAAGTCCTGAAACGGGATGAAAAATCAAGTGATTACTTTAATCATCTACTTTTAAAAAACAGTTTTATGTCTAAAACTTGTGTTATGTTCAAAACTTAACAGGTAACTTTAAGTAAGGAAAGTGATGAATCACAATTTGTTATCAAGCACATGACAAAACTGGTTGCAGGCTTCTCGCTAGTCGTTTATCCTTCGTCATGTTGGTAGAAGGTTGTCGGTTGGAGGAACAAAATGTGTATTCCTACCTCGGTGGTAAAACATTTTTGGGCACAGGGTTATTTTTTTTCTAATTTAACATTCAGTGACGAAAATTAGTCGATCCTAAAAGAAAAAAAATTAATGTACTTTTGAATTGTTACCAATGTTTATGTCTAAAGCACAAAAAACGTTTTGTGAAGAATGAGACAATGCCAAGTTGGTTCCTATTTATCGAACAACATACTCTCAGATACTCTTCCTGCACTAAATATAATTGTACGTACAAATTTACCTGTATCTGCAGTAGCATTTATAGTGGGAGAGTAGGAAGAATAGCACACCTTAGATTCTTCGAACATATACAGAAAATTTCATACAACCGGTTCCCTTTATTAGTTTGAAGAGAGAAAGAACCAACATGTTCGCAGTTGATGAGTATCCACGAAATAAAACGAGCTCGTATTATCCTGCGAACATGTTCGTTCTTTCTCTCTTCAAAATATACAGAAAAGCCTACATTGCAAGCTTACAAACGATTTCACTAGTGCTACTGCCATACATTTCGTTGATACGCGTCATGTGGTGGACATCCCGAAACCCTTTAGGATTGTCAATTTAAATCAATCCTCCTCAAGTTTGCTACAGTAATTACTATAAAACGTTTAAAAACCCGATTTATGTGTTCGGAAAGCAGAAGTTATCAGTCTTTCCTTGCCCTGGTAACTCTACTTACTAGCTCTTCCGGCAAAGCTGAACTATCATGCTGATTGAGCAACCAATCATAATTGAGATCCAAAACAGTCGCATAATCGTTGAAAAATGCAGTAAAAGGCATTGCAAACATTATGTTACACTCTATATTTGTCGATTGTATTGTAAGAATGTCCTCCCAGTCAATACACATTTTACCTGTAGAGAAATCATACCATGTGCGATAGATGCATTTATTTAGGTGACTGTAGGTTATGATACTTTGAGATCCACTGATATTTCTGATACTGTTTTTCAACCTACTCCTGACGCTAACCATAATCCTAACCTTAACCCTAGATCGTAAACCATAATATTAAAAGCCATAACCCTTCCTAACAGTATTCGTATATCGAAAAAGTACCTAGGGTATAAGGAGAATACTGTATCTACCCTCTCCAAGTCAAAAAAGGCAGGCATGATTGGATTTGAAATAACATTCATTAGCAATCCCTGTAAGTGATTGGTTCTTGAAGGTTAACTTTTGAAAAGCCGTTGACTTTGGCTATGATACTTTAGCTTTGCCACTCTTACTTTTCTTCGACTAGGTAATTTTTTCTCTAAACCCTTAGCTTTTCTTTGTGACTCAATTTTATTAGGCCAGTAACTCCATCTTGTAGAAAAACATCAAAGAGCAAAGCTTGAAGCCTTATATTCCACTCAAAACTCAAGTAGATGAAAAATAATCACTTAAGGAACCATTGAAAACCAGGGAGTGCTGCAGAGCTGTTTCTTTACTGGTTTTAAATGGTTCTCTAAATGATGCTAATACGTGATCTTGAAATGAATTCAGCTCATTTAAACCAATATTTGAAATCCCATTGTTCTTATGTAGTGCTGTGGAATTATTATTAATAAGGGATACAGATTTATCCACTCACAATATATTCAGTTATTTCCACTATCTGACTTCAAAACTAAAAAAATTAGAGTCAAAATAGTTGTTTTTGAACAGATATAATAGTAGTTTTTCCCAGGATTTCTTTTTTTCTTCCGTTTCTCTACACAGAATTTCAACGGACTTCACGACAAATGACTACTGCAAAGAAGGCCCATAAAGACTTGTCACCACCGAAAATCCTATTGGATAGTATTCCTCCAGAATCTTCATATGTAGCAAAGAAAGTGGACAGTATAAAAGATACTCAAAAAAATTCTTCATCTGATAAAGAAAATGAATCTAATTCAACCGTTGGTAGATCATCAAAAGTTAAAGTTCCAACTTCTAATCGTTTACTGGTTTCTAGTAAACGACTCCTATCTTCAGGTTAGTTGAATACTGTTCTTATATAAATCAAATGAACACTTATACCTCGAAAATAGCAAATTGATAGAGGCTAGAATTCATGGACGGTTGTATTCCGTCTCGGTGGCGGAAACGTCAACGGGATCAAGTAAACCGAATAACCTGAGTTCGACCCCCAGTCATGTCATTTGTGTATGTTGTCCATGATTTCCAAACTAGAACTAGACAGTTGTTCAGTAATCCCTGGTTTCAATAGTTGTCCGGCTAATGTCAATCTGTGATCAAACTTGTAACAAATCAGATCCCTACAAACTCATTTCTGATAAATTTATTCAAAGAACATAAGAATTTATCAGTTCAAATGATACGAAAGAAATTCTATAGTCGAAAGGATTAATTACAAAACTGGTTGGTTTATTTTACTCTAGGTATTTTTTCAAGGAGTGTATAAATAAGAAGGAGTGGTGAAGGTTGTTAATTGATGCAAATCCGGGTCGAGATCATTGTTTCACCTTTAGTCTTCACGCATTACAACGAAAACAGTTTGGCCAACCCAAGAATATCTCAATGTCTCACTATTCTCTGAGCCTAATTAAGTATTATTAGGACTAATACTAGTAGAACTGGACGGTAAAGCAACTAGTCTCATGATAAACATACAGTAAAGTACCGGCCATTCAAATGACAGTTAGGCATAACTCTTTGAAAATGTTGGCTGGACCTACACTTTAATTTAACCTTCAGTCACTACCCACGAAATGAGTATGTAATCATGTATGTACAACGAAATGACCCGATGTGGTCTCAATACATACTAATTCTTTCAGTTCTTTAAATTCTGAGTGGGATATAGGACTCTAAACTTCCAGGTTTCAGTAGCAGTTGGGTACTTTTATGAGGTGGCCTTGCTAGCCTTACTCCAAATTTTCCCTCTTTGTCAGGCTTATTACCGGTTAGGCGGAGTTCAGAAGTGCGTTGGTCGAGCGTCGGTCGGAGAACGTGTATGTGTGGGGCTGGTGAACATTCTACCACTGAACCCCCGACGAACACAAATATTAAAAGTATGAATGAAAATTTCGATCTGGACAAAAAGAGAGTTCTATATCATAAGATTTCAAAAAGGGGGAATCAAATCGTTCTTTTCTAAGTAATCTAATGGCTTAGACGTTCAGTTAGAATAATGGCTGAAGACTAGTGACTGAATATTATTTGCCAAATAATTACTGATTCGGTTAGAAAGATTAGTAAAATAAATAAATGTGCAAAACTGATGCTGACGCTAACCAAGATGGTCAACGGTTGGCAGACTGTTATTCACGTAATGGGTGAAATGGAAATGTGAATCGCGGTAGCATTCGAACCAGTAGCTTACGAATTCACAGTCCAGCGTCCTACTATATGAGCTTCGAAACCCAGATGCTATCTACATTATCATCTCACTACAATCACCATGAATAATGTCCAACCGTCATGTGAATAAATCATATATTACGGGTTATTTTTCATCAAGCTATCAACCCAACTAGGAATATTTTCTACCATCAGTCATAGTCAGATTGAATCAATTAATAGTGGAGGGGCAGGTTGGTAAGTGAGGCTGGCAATATCTTCAAAGTCCACTAGTTCAAATTCTGCCGCGATCAAGATTTGAATTTCATCACCATCCATTTAATATGCAAAATTTCAACACTGGTATTTTGTAATTCCATATTAATTTGTTTATCTGGTGAAATAATGGTCTTTAATGTATAACCATTTGGGTACAATTTATTGTTCATATGCACATTTTGGCCGATCGTTAAGCCGTTTGAAAAAGACAGGATGATAAGTGAACTAACAGTTGAACAGATTTATTCTAATGTATCTGAGTTGTGAGGCAACATACCGTTTACAGTAAGTTCACATTTTGTGATAACACGTGAAGTCTGACATTTCAAATAAAAAGTAGTTTTCAAACAAATTTATGCTTGCTGAGATGAGTCATATATGTTAGTCTCACAATGGCTTTGTTTTAGTAGCATTTCTGTTTGTATGACTCATTGTATATATATCAATGACTCATTGTAGTTCAATAAAAACTTTGATATAATGTGATGACTAAGTGGCTTGAAAATTACACATGCTACGATATACACTTTTAAATAATTGCTATTTTGAACTATTCGTCTGCCTGTGAATCCAGAGTCCCAGAATCTAGTGCCAAGGCTACGATGCTTGCCCTTATTATCGTTTGGAACCAAGCTTTCCAGAGGACTGGGATCTTGGGGTATGTGTTCTACCACATTTGAATATCATGCCACGAACCTTATACACTTAATGTCAGTTAAAAGTTTGGGCATTGTGGAATAGATCAAATAAATTATAGCTATATTTCAATAGTTTACACATAATGATTGATTGTTTTGGTAATATTTAGAGCAATTACATAGACTATACCAACCATTTAAGACAAAAGTAACTGAAATATTGCTTTTTTAATTTTAAATAAACAGGCCGTTGTCAGTTGGCAATGTTCAAGATGTTCTGCTTCATATTCCAGTTGTTATTTCTGAGGCAATACAAATTTCCTCAGCTGAATATAGTGATTCATTCCAAAAAGCTTTTGAATGGTGGTTTGAAGACTGAAAACATCTCATGAATTTGAAGTCATATCTGAATCATACTCAGATAAATTATATTTTGCTGTTTTATCGAAGTTCGCAGTCTATTATTAATTTAAATAAAAGACAATTTAATGAAGATAATTTTCAAGTATTGGCTTGTAGGGATTTGACTGATTGGTTACAGTAATTCATCATGAGCTGACGTCGGTTAGAGAACCATTGGAAAAAGTAGGAGTACTGGACAGCTATTTCGTCCTAATTTGGGACTTTTCTTTATTTCCTGAATTGGTAGAAGTTGGAATTCATAGACTGGACATTCAATTGAGGACTAGTGGCTTAGTGGTCTACGAGCTCGCCTTTTAACCATAAGACACTGGGTTCGAACCCCGCAGTGTGGGTTCGTACTGACGAAGAGTCCCAAACCAGGACGAAACAGATATGCAGTACTCTGAAGTGTTCCAATGGTCCTCTAACCGATGAAATCCTAAAACTATAATAGTGTGTTGAACATAGTTCATACGTTATAACTTCTTTGAATTTCAATAGAGACATCACTTAGTTAAAAGCTGCATAGACACTTCATGCTGATGACCCTAAGCTAATATGCAGGAAACTTAGGTCCACGGTTGTTTGCGTGTTGTCTTTAAACTTCATGCATAAATTCACAGTGCACCATGATTTCTAGTCTACTAGCTTAATGCCCACATTGCCACCTTACTGGATGACTGACTGATAGAACTAAAAACAACGATGGCCTTCCTCTCATAGTGACCAATCAATATAGATAATTCCTTTTATTATTTAAAAAATATAATTACTCTTACTAGTTTTAAAATCATTTTACGCTTTCCTCTATCAGCTGGGGAACGCAAAGCAGAGAGCCGCATTAATGGGCCGTTCACTATTCAGTTTATTATGAGTTCACCTGCATGTGTAGAAAAAGGCAAGTTAATAATTTCATTGATACATCTGTAGAAAGAAATTTTTCGTTTGCTTCTTTACTTATAATTTCTCTCAGTTCTTTCTATTCTGTGTTGTGTCTTAACAGTGTTTTAAAACATGCAATATAAGGTTTTATATTATTCTGTATACTTAGTACGGATAGTAAAACGTCACATGAAAGGTGTTAATTTTTAATGGATCCATTATTTTTACTTTATAGCCAGAAGGGACCCTGACACGATTTCAAACTTCATGGGGACGTCAGTTAATTCAAACATGCCTCAATGACAACTCTTGACAATGTAAATTTCGTCACGCTACCACACCAGTTAGAGAATCGTTGAAGACTAGGGAGTACTGGACAGATGTTTCATCCTATTTTGCGATTGCGAAGCCTGCCTTGTAAACCGAAGGCATTAGATTCAACATCTGTTAGCGTCGTGGTTGTGTACTAATGAAGTGTCCCCGAATATCCCGAACTAGTACAAAACGGTTTTCCAGTGTACCCTGATTTTCAGTGATTCTCTAACATACGTCGCTTTGTAAAGAAATCTAAACTAAACATTGAGTTCCACTGAGTCAATAATTGGCTTTTTAACTCAGCATTGTTGCTTATTCGTTCCTGTTTGAATGTGATTAATCAATTTTATGTTGTGGTTTAAAAGGAGACATGAATTTAATGTAGATTACAGATTCATATCAGTGTAGATTTTGTCATGAACCAACATCACTTTCGGTAGTCATTAAAAACCAGGGTGAACTGTTTCGTCCTCATTCGCAACACTTCATTAGCGACCTTACCAGGGATCAAACCAAGCACCCTCTGATTGCCCAGTTAGCCTCCTTACCAATCAGTCACTATGACGAAATCTAATAATCCATGAGTTCTGTGCATATCAGAACTATCCCCTAGAATTATTTCCGAATGATGTGATAATAACACACAACTGGAACTGTTCACTTCACTGTCCACTTTCATTTACACAGAATTTATTGTAATATATTTCACAAAGACGCTACCACATTCCTTGTAGGTAACACTTTATAATACACTCACGATGAATGTCTCTTATGATGACGATACCCGACTTCATAATCAGTCATCTCAAACCTTGATCAGAGTTAGTATAAAATAAAGCGATTACATGCGAGATTATCATAGAATTGATCATACTGTTACAACAGAAGACAAGGGGCAAGACACAGATCGTTTATTGAGAAAATCAAGAGATATTAATATATTTTTATGTACATTATTATTCGTTATTTTAGCAGAGAAGCAAAGTCTTCTGATTGGTTCCTCTTGCTGACGATTATTCTGTACTGCTTGTGAACGTTGCTTACAAAGTTATCTATATATCTGAGAATTGTATCTGCACACGCTAATTCTGCTGTGATTAGTTGTTGAGTTCCTCAAGGTTCGGCTGTGTTCTTGTGTTTTCTCATGACCCCGATTCGGGACGTAAACACTGACGTAAATTGCTGTCTACCGATTTTGGATAGCAGAAAGCTCTCACCATGATACTACTATTACTATTGCTAATACTAATGATAATAAAATTTCACAAAATTATTTTTAAGGTTGGACAAATGAGAATATATTAGTCAGTTTTATGAATACAATGGAGTGGACTCATTCACGTTTAACAAATGCAATGAAAAAGAAGTAAGCTATTTAATTATTAAATTTGTGAACGGCTCTATGGTGGTAAAACGAGAGTTCTTTTAAAATCTTTAGAAATCACGTGATCTGAAATGTGTTAACTTAACGTGCCTTTTTTCCAGTTCACCACTGTGGTTCAATGGTGAAATGCTAACCGACTATGCACAAAGGTGGTTCGAGTTCGATTCTCGACCAAAGCACTCTTAAACCTCGCTCAGCCATTAGTAGGCCCGGTAAAGAGGGAAGGTTGAGTGTACGGTTAGCACACCGCCTAATTAAGAAAAACTTCACCGCTACTAAAATGTACAAGCGTAGAGGGTTGAACTCCTGTTTTCCACTCCGGCAGCAAAGGAATGGAAAAAAATTGTGTTGTTATTATTGCGAAGATATGCCAGTGTTCGGAGACTTTCCAAACGAATAATTCAGCTTCTAGTCATTTTAGAGTCTTGTTGACTCAAAGCTTCGATTGAAACATTTTTGGTCTCACGCAGTCAACTCCTGCATATTTGGTCTAGAATATGAGCCACTTTTGATCAAATGAATACAAAAGCCTGGGCATGAATCGCTCAAGGTTATTGTCTCCTACTGCAATACTAGGTGACACTGATTAGAATCTATTTCGTGGTTGTAAAAATGTATTCATGATGAGTGCCAGAGAAACCAAAATCTACGTCTACAGCATCCTAATGATTGTCTCCAACCTCCGAACATCATTTCAAAGAGCACTTCGATGACTCATCATTAGACAGCCTACGACAACACTAAGAGGTTGAAAATATGACATTAGTTACGGCCTAGTAACTAAGCTCTGTACACCGATCATAACAAAGTAGATTTGCTTTATTTGATTTAAATCTAGAATGACAATTTGCGTGCTATAAATTCTCACGAAATACTTCATGCTGTCCTAGTCATATATATATATATATATATATATATATATATATATATATCGTGTCTTATTAAAAACTGCTAAATAATAGGCGTAATAGTTATAATTCAAATTTACCACCATTAAATAAGGTGATAGACGTAGGCAATAAAGTTTTAATAAACCACTGCAATTACGTTTTATTGTTTTAATTAACCACAAACATATACACGCAAACACAGATACAATTGCTTTGTATGGTTATTTATTTTCTCTAAATGACTGAATGATGGCGTGATCTATGCATTTAAAAGACTTTCTTCGCTGTTTATTTTTTCATACTTTTTTCCTGACTTAGTAAAGCAGATTATTATTACGAAGAACTTCAGAGTGTTCACTACTGCCAGCCACAATATATCACTTATTCAAGCTTGCTAGGTGTAAAAAGGCTAAAGCTTTTATCGCTAACTCATTTAACTTCAATTAATGATCCAACACTGACCAATCATGTTAATAAATGTACGACTGACAAAACAATATCAGTAGGCAGTGATGTTTTTGTTGAAAATAAAGTCAAACTATTGTTTAAATTTGGTTTTGATAAAGTTAAAGAAGAGAGGTTACCAGCTATGAAAATATATCAAATTATGTCCAACACATCAGTACCTAGTTTGACTTCAATCCAACCTTACAGAAGTTTACTTATGGAGGAATTTGAACGACACGTCATGGATAATATGACACTACTGACGATAGCAAATCTCAGTGTTATTAAACAAATTGAAATGATCTCTAGGAATATTGTTAAACTGAATGATAGGAAAGATGTGAATAACAATTCAGAAGTTATATTAAAGTTATGTATGAAGAAAATGGCCAGTGTTTTACAATCACAACGAAAATCAATGAAGCAGATTGAAAATACAAAAGTGGAACAATCACATCCATGGTTTTCATATTCTTCAGATGGAACACTTACAGTCAGGTAAGGAAATATACTGCACTTCTGTATTTTGTAATTAGAATTCACCTTCATTACTGAAAAGAGGTGGATTCATCTTCAGCTATCGTTTAAATACACACTGACAACTGTGATAAGATGTTTACAATTGTTAAGTGTTAGTGAGAATAGGTTAATGTATTTGTTAGAATAGAGATAATATTCAAAGATGTCACAATGCAAGTGTTCGCAGTGGATCTATTCACTTATTGATAACATTAACTTACCGGTAGTGTACTTCACTCACTAAGCTACCTAGATTTTCGTGCAACATAATACATCAAATTTTCTCCATTTCTTATTTCTTTTCATAAATCAGTCATGTCTTAGTCTAGCAAAATGTACTAAACGCTTGTTTTTATTTACCCAGCAACCTACTTTTGTACATTTCTCAAGGGAGTTAAGATAAAAGTGTTATATAAAGGATTGGTCTTGCCTGAAACTGGCAATCCCACCTGGTAAAAAGGACACCAATGCGCATAAATTTTCAAAACTGAAGCTTGAAGCCCTATGTTCCACTGGGAATGGAATGGTATAAAATAATAATAGTAATAATAATAATAAACAGTCCTAGATTGTTGTTTTCAACCTGCCTTAGTTTAGTAGCTCACCTCACGCACTGCTAAGTGGTTCAGCAAAGAAGGAAAGTGCTTCGCCAATATCCTTTTCAACAGGCTAACGCAGATTTTCATTAACAGATGTCTTAGGTCCACATTAAAGATCTCATGGATGGAGGAAAAGGATAAGCAACAAAGAACTCCGTAAATGAACCCGTAAGTGAGGATTTATTGTCTGATAAGTATTCAGAAGGAAATCGAGACGATTGGAAAAACTCTGAAGTGACCATTGAGTGAGATCATATACCAGACTTTCGAGTGGAAAACTAGTGACAAGCGATAAGTTGTGGGTCCAAGGACGACATGGAGAAGACGATGTCAGGAGAAAAATGAAAAAAATTGAGGCACTCGTGGAGCCAGATGAAAGTGATGGTAGAGAACAAAGTAGACTGGAGATGTGCCGTCGAGCTCCAGGATCTATTCAGAGCGTAAGGAATGAATAATTATAATAACGATAATGATAATACTTAAATGAAACTTAAGTAACATAATGGGTAGGACTTAAAATCCTAAAGATTTATTTCTTTTATTTGTTAGTAGATAGCTGTTATTGGTAAAAACTTTTTCAACAGTGTATTACACTTGATGTTATTTGGATGGTGATGACTAGCAACGAACTTTATTGAGGAGTTCCAAAATGGATGAAACACCCTGTCTAGGTTCCAGCCAAGTACTATTACTTGTGGCTCAAGGAAATTGTCAAAATGCCCATACTAGGGATAGATATGTCAACCGAGACTAAGAGTTTTAGCCTAGTAAAAGTCAGTCATACGGAAACGATGGATGCAGTGTTGAAAGTCTCAGCAGGATCACCATCACTCACCGGGGATGCAGGTATATTCAGATGATGAATCCTAGACAGAACCGAGTCCAAATCCTAGATTTCACTGCTAGTCACTGCCAACCGAAATAACAACAAACAGCAACGTATGATGATACTTACTTATAACAACAAATACACACCTTTTCATCTATCAATAATCAATATATCATTTACATAGTTTACAGTTCTTGTTTATAATTTACATTTTCTAAATGAAACAGATATCCTTGTGGTTCACCAGCGATTATATGGTCATCAAGTCCTCTATTGTATCACCCGTCATGCAGAAATATTCACAGTCATGATTCATCATCAGTGAATCGAGTTAAAGCAAGTGATACTAAAATAAAGAATATTAAAGAGACTAATCCGTTAGTTTTTACACAAAGATCGAATACAAATATCTCCAGTATTCACAGTGGTGGTGGCAGTACAAACTTGCTGATTAAACAAAAGATGACTTCAAAACGTGAGAATGGTAAACAACGTACAGGGTTTTACTTAACACTTTTTGATATTCCATTGAATGAGGAAGGTAGAAAAATAGACGGTAATAGTCACAAATTTGATCCACAGTTCCCTACATCTTCAAATCTGGGTCATGATCTAATGTCAACTAGTGAAAAGGAGAGTAATTTGAATCTGGATTCTATTCGAAGATCTAGAAATGCCATAAGAAGACCGAATTCTATACGTGACAGTATATCCAGTAGTTGTAGTGTGCGTAGTAGTAGTAATCGTCTGAAATGCATTCGGAGCAAATGAAATCAGATGACAGACAGTCACACAATGAAGATATATACACAGAAAATTTAGCTACTGGCCCTCTAATTGGTCAGTTCACACCAGCTGGTGAAGGCGTAATCTATTATCCATATAACAGTGGTGTAACAACAACGACCCCAATGAAATCAAACAGTGATAACAGAACAAAACGTCCACCGATAAACATTCACGCTATATTCACAAAAGATTATTGCTATGTATTCAATAAGTCTACGGGGGATTTAGACTATCAGTTTCCACGTGTTTCAAACAAAACTCTGCATGATCCAACAACACGCTTCCCAATATCATTAGATATAAGCTTTAATCAATATGTCAGATGTATTTATGCAAATTGTAATGATTTAACAGTAATATTTAATACTCAAAATAATATACTACTGAATATTGATTGTTTTCAAAATCTTTACACATTTGAAGACGAAAGTGACGGTGAAGTATTGACGCCTACAGAGGATGGTGGATTAAAACAGGTGAATGATTATAATACTGTTATTAAATTATTTGATGATTATTATCCCCCTGGGTTTCGAGAGGAACAGCACATTTTGGTTCACTCTGTTCACTGCAGTCCTATTTGGTTGATCTCAAGATTGCCTAAAAGTTTTCATGTCTCCGTGTAATGGTCTTCATCATGTTACCATCAAACGCCCAAATCAACTTTCCTCCTTCTGGTTTCAGATGAGAGCCTGGCACCTGATAGCACTCAACGGTCTCCCCATCGTATGTCAAACCTATCTTCATTCCTTTCAGCATATTTGTTGTGCGACTGGTTTTTGATAAGTTTGCCAGCTATCTGATCTTCAGTATGCAGCGAAGGCAGCCGTTGATGAAAATCTGCGTCCTGTTAGAAATGCTTTCCGTGACCCACCAAGTTTATGAAGCACACAGGAAGACTGACTCAACGTTGGCACTGAAAGTCCGAATTTCGTCCTTCATGCCGAGTGCATCAGATTTCCAAACTGATTTCGGAGAGGAAAACGTCTGCCTTGCCTTTCTGATTCTGGTTTAGACGTCCTCATCTATGCCAACTGTAGTAAAAACGATGCTGCCTAGATGAGTGGAAGAAGTGACCTCTTTTGAATTTAATCCTTTCATAGTGATTGGTGCCTGTTGTTGATTGGTTGTTTTCATTACCTTCGTCTTCTTTATGTTCACCTGAAGTTCCATCTTCGCTGCTTCTGTTATCAGCCTGTTGGTTTTCGCCTACGGATCTTCGAGTTTGTGGGACATCAGACGTAAATCATCCACAAATTCAGATCTTCTAGAGTCTTCTTATCGGTCTAACGTATGCTCTTCCTCTTGCACTTTACAGTCTGTTGTATGACCCAGTTTACCACAGTTAGGAATATCATCGTTGACAGTAGGTAGTCTTGTCCTGCTCCTGTCTTCACTTCAAAGGTTTCACTGAATTTTCCACTGGGGATCACTTGGAAGGAGGTTGATAAAGATTTGAGGTACTCCATAATGTTCAAGCAGTTTCCAAATTACTTCAGTTAATTAACTTAGCCTTCCAATAAGATATTGGTATGAAATGAACTACAGTATCAATATAATGTTCTTAAATACAAAAGAACTATCGTAATTAGATAGACCACGGAGTAAAACTGTGGTGTATTCAATTTTAGATGCAGGGATGTTTATAATTCTGTAGGATTAAAATGAACTGAAGGGTTCGAAAGTAATGTGGAATGTTAGAACATGAACTGATAACAGTCAGAGAATCATTGAAAAACAAGGGACTATTGAACAGCTGTTTCATCTTTGTGTAAAGCTCATAAGTACTCACAGATACTCAGCGATGATTTAATGAATTACTAACTGGAAGGAGCTGAGGTTTATGACTTATTGTATTTAGTCCCGGTGGCTGGATGGTCATCGGGCTCGTCTCATAACATAAAGCTTCTAGGTTTGATCCCTGTCGAGTTAATCGGTGAGTACTGCTCAGAATTCCCAAACTAAGACGCAACAAATGTCGGATACTCCATGATTTTCAATAGTTCCCTGTGTGATATCAGTTCGTGATTTCACTTGAATTTAAATAAATCAATGTAAATCAATACTTGAAAATATGAAATGTTTTCTTTATCGAATCTCCCACCAGTGCCTAATAACCAATATCGTCGCTGAACTGTTTCTACGCGCAAATGACTTGCTCAATTAAGAAATAGCAAAATCAGACTGCCTAGACTTTTAGTTTTGTATTTCTTTTGGGTTATATTAAGTTATTTGTAAGTTGTACTAGAAAGCTGTGTAAAGAGAACAAGTAGTACTAAACGCTTACAAATCTCTGACCAAAATATGAATTGGTGCTTAGTGGTGCTGATAACAATATAGTGAGTTGCAAAAAAAAAGAATTTAAAAACAAAAGCCTCCATGTTATGGAAGCTCAATAACATCACAAAAAACCACAGGACACTATTGCTTATTTACTTCAAATCTTATAGTGAGACTAAACGTTAAATTTAACATTCCTATAGGAAGATACATAATTAACTGCCTTCTAGATTTGAAAGGGGCATTTTTAAACGCAATTTGAAATTTGACATAAATTTTTTTAAGTGTACGTTTGCAGAAATTTGACTGATTTGCGGATTGATTACGATTCGGTCTCACTTAGAGTACCAATGAACACCATGTTGTACCAGACACCTGTTTCGTCCTAATCTGAACCTGTTTAACATTATGCAGGCATGACCCAACGCCGGTTGCGATATGTATGACTAATTGGCAGAAGTTAGATTTGACGGGCCAATAGATTTCGTCCCTGTAGCTGAATGATAATAGGAACTCGCCTTGCAGCCTGAAGATCCTGTGGTAACTCTAAACAACAACGATCCAAACGAAGGACCCAAGCAGGCGGACATAGTGACCTTGATCAACCGATCAGATAGGCCTTGATAAGTGCTCGTATTTGAAAAACCTCTTCTATAGACATCAAAACCAGAGAGAGAAAATGATTTTATGGGGTAACTCTCTCGTATATGTCCCAAGAAAACCTCCTAATTCCTTATTATAGTCTTCAGCAACAGTCCGAACCTATTTTTGTGCATAAATTCATCCAGATAACCGTACATTCAGCTGTTTCGTGGCCCATTCACTGCTGTACAGAACCCATCAACCTAAAAATAGGAAAGACATAGCTTATCGGACAGATTTTCTGTAATAACAGTTTTAACATCTTGTTATGTCTGCCTTATCCTATCACATCTGGATTCAGCAGCGGCTGCATATCTCTATAAAGACATTACTACTTCATATCTGTAATCTTCTTATAAGCCTATTACTTCGATAGTATTCAAATACTACCTGTTGATGGTATTTGCAATGTAATTCAAGTACTGCATTTACGTTTCCGCGTTTTTAGTACGGCCGAATCTGATTGGTTGATCAAGTTCATCACATCCGCTTGCTTGGGTTGTTATAGTTTAGAGTTACCTATCCTAGGTTCGATAGTCTTGTCGTGTCATGGATACATACTTCTGAAGAGTCCGAAACAAGATCAAAACATCTGTCCATGTTCTCAATAGTTTTCAGACTGTAGTCGGTTAGTGATCAGTCTTGCTCTGTTTGAACTTGATTTAAATATGCTGAAAATTGAACGTATGATCAAAATATAGTGAGGTTTGTAATATAGTTTTCACCGTCTTAAAATAATCAAAAATCGATTGTGGCATCATTTATTAGTTAAACGACAAGCAATAACAAGCGTAAAATAATATTCACTCAGTCCAATTAGTAGTATCTTCTGACTGACATTAGTAAATACCGAAATATTAAAACCAGATTTATTCGTATATTGGCTAGTGATTTAACAGTGACAGCTGTCATGTGCTTAGTCCTTAGTGTTGGTCATGACGGAATTTTATTAGTCAGCTTTGCAATATGATCACCAGCTAAGGTAACTGGCTACCATAATTCACCGAAATTTGACGTTAGGTGGCTGAAAACAGTAGATAAGAAGCCTGTACCTAGGTTTCGTGCTTTTAACACTCGTCATGGAGAAGAGTAAGAATTAAACTCGTTAATGGCTATTGTCTAGTGACTAACTAAGGTATCTAATGTAGTTTTACAAGATGCAAATCGTTGGTCCAGATAATTCAGTATTAGCGTCTCTGACTGACAGCAGCAGTCATATCATACCAGTAAGTGACGTGGATACGAATCTCCGAGGGGACTTTAGTTCCTTCAAAGTTGTCGGTGCAGCTTGGTGATGCAAGCCAAAAAGAATGAAATTATTGATATGACTATAAAACCTGGGCACTGTGGTAGAACATAACTCCATTATGGATAAGATTTTATTTTGATAAATCACAGTGTTATACAGTAATATTAACTGATGACGTTTCGAGCACAAACTATTGCTCATAATCAGTTGATATTACTGTGTAACACTGTGTGATTTATAAAAATAAAATCTTATCCGAAATGGAGCAACAAGAATGAACCTAGGTCCAGGGCTTTCTGTAGATTGTTTCTGATCACCCGACGTTGACGTCTAGAAGCTGTAAAGTCTACTTATCAGTCTCGCAAGAACGACGTTAAGCTTTAGGCACCACTAACTACCAATCAGCGAGTGACTTGAACACACCAATCACATGAAGGAGGCGTTTTTGGTTACGGAAAACATATATTTAGGGGAAAAAATGCATAAAAATGTCTCATAGGATACCTTTCTGTGACATGTGGTAAAAACATCTCCCAGTTGATCATAGGAGTATCAGTTGGAAAGTTACACCACATTCTATACATATATTCATCTAAATGACTATAAATGACATACTTTTGAGATCCACCAATGGCCCTAATCCAATTTTTAATCTTCCTTGAAAAGCCTTGTATAGAACTAATGTGTCTCTGTAATGGGATCCAAAAGTTCATTAGAATGGTTCACTATGTGGTGAATATATCAAGGGGTGACAGGTACTTATAATCTTTCCACCCACCCACGTTTACGATGACACTTTCTCCTCCTAATAACGAAGTAATTCTCTCCATTTTCCATGATGTGGTGTCTCTGCAGTGCTGGCAAAACTGAATTATTGATAGGAGACTATTATTTTCTGTTTCAGCAGCTACACCTGTCACAGGTTGTTTTAAAACCCAGTAACTACAAATATACATAATCTGGGTTAAGAACAGGTGGGACCTGGCAAAAAATGTTCCTACGAAATATTGGAATCATAAGCATACCTTCCCTGATATTTGACTCGAACCAAACGGAACAGAACCTTCAACTCAGGTGGATGAAACTTGTTTGGTCACTCAAGGTCATTCGCTGATGTGTAGTTAGTGGTGCTTAGAGTTGAACTTGGCCATTTGAAGTTATGAGAAAACAAAAATTAAGCACACAGTATTCAGAGAAGAAATTCTTCTCAATGAATTTAGTATCAAGCTGTACAACTGCTTACATATATAACATTTGGATTTAGAATGACAAGTGAAATAATACCGGAGACATTTCGGAGTAAGAACAGTAATAAAAATAACCATAATGCGGAGAAGGTACGTAGAATAACTAAATTTAAAAAAAGATATAAACAAATAAATGTTTATCCCTTTACTCTAAGGCAAAAATAGGGATTGAACATACTTCTTTCGTAGATAAAGGTCTGTGTTAAATTTATGAATGGCCAAGGCCTCCTCTGCCTCTAGAAGTTCAGAAAGAAGTCACCGCGGCAAGTTAGCATGATTTAGATAGATAATGTCAAATCATGATTAGGGTTCGTAGAAGGACAGAAATTGATTAAGTGTTCTAGAGTACAGCTTTGCACGCCTTTCCTTTCTCCTTTGCATTATGATGTTGGAATACGTTCTCGTATCTGCTTTTTGAATTCTATCTTATCTTATTTGCCTACTAATCTTATAATTATATACCCTTTTCCAACACCCATGCATCTTATGAACTGTTTTGTATACATGACATTATTTGTTTTGACACTTGATATTTGACTATGATTACAGTCACAAACATTTTCCTTTCATTTCATACTATTATTATTTTATGTCTTCACACCTTCTTTTAACTTTCCTCAAGGGATATAATTTCTTAAAAAACCGTATATATATATATATATATATAGTTGCACAGCTGGATAATAAATCCACTGAAAATTTCTTCTCTGAATATTGTGTTCGCAATGTTACAATAGGAATTATTAAATTATTGAAAAAAACAGGAATTACCGTTATTTCTTTGCTAGTGTTTGCTTAGAGGAAATAGTTAGATTTTGGACAACAAGAAATTCGAACGAAGTAGTTTTTGAGTACTTCTTACTCTTGAGTGTATTCCAAATCCATTAAATGTTACTTTTCGATGACCATTACATGCTGGTATCGTCTGGGAGAGTATTGAAAATCATGAACTTGACTGTGGTTTTGTTCTGTTTTGTGACTTGCTGGCAGCGAGCACTCCTGTCTCTCATCTGAATCGAGCTTTGGGCTGTCAGTTCCCACAGTGACTGAAATCTAACACTCTAGATTCTTCAAATTCTGACATTTCACTTACCTGACACATGTTGAAATGTTTCAGACATGAGTAACGTTTCAACATCAAATCACCCAGGAGGGAAGGCAAGATGTGGTATGCTGTGTTAAAAAAAATGTCTTGGAATCGTTAGGCATGATACCATAATAAGAGCTAGTGGGATCTGGGTTTTTTACAAAAAGGATACCAGGAACACCCATCTCACACAGTAACATTTTTCTTTTCCCCCGTATTATTACTTATGCACCTGACTTAGTACCTTAACTTTTTTCGATGATATATTGTATGAATAATAAACAGTCGATTATCTTTTTAATTTATTATTTTCCATTTATCATTTATAACAGTCTCACCATGTCTTATCAAAACATCCATTTCTGAGTTCCATTGTGGACGCTTCAAGTCAAAATAAACAGTTATTAACAAGTAGACGACGTAAAGAAGTAAGTGTGGATAGCGTGTCATTGATAATAATAATATCACTGATAATAATATGAATACTGAATTTTGTTTTTAAAAATTATAACAAATATTTAACTATTGCTATGACTGTATCTGGTTCATCTACAATTTACAGAGGAATATTTGATAGCCTCTAGGAGCAGAATGTGCAACACTCTTCTCATCCCTTGTTTGAGACTCCTTGGATAGTGAAGATTCCTGAGTTTCAAGGGATGATAATGTCATTACTGACCGCCATTTTAAACAGAAGAGATTTATCTAGGAAACTGGGAATTCTTGAATGCTTTGAAAACGATTAATTTTTTTGGTTTTTGAGTAACTGAACCCTGGTTTTCTAATATTTTCGCTGAGTGTAGACACAAATGTTGGGTTAACTATAATGAATATCTGATGGTTTCTCAATAGATTTCACTGGCGTTAAGTGGTTTATGACAAAACTTACATATTGATAATTGGACACGCATCCCAACAGACTGAGCAAGAGACTGTTTAATAATAATAATTACAATAGTAATAATCATAATGACGAAGTATTATAAGAACTGTTCATACAAAATGTCGAAATAATTCACTTATCCAAACGTATTTCAAAACTATTATGTAATCATCATCACTTTTCTATAGTGTTATGTACTCGTCGCTAAGTTATTGTTATGGACTGGTCGAGAAACTAATAGTCCTGACGCGAGAAGGCGGAAATCAGAAGACCACTAGGTTTGCGATGATACTTCTATTGTCCAAACACAAGGAGACGAAAATAAATGGTCTCACACCAAAGTGGTAAGTAAGTAAAGTAGTTCACACAAATTGTGAATGCGAAATATATATGAATGTTCCAGACAAAGCGTGGGAATAAATCATTAGACAGTCTTAACATGAATGGCTAATTATAATGGAGTGTCGATCCAAATATACATAGCGAATATAGCAGACATGTCAACAACCATATATGGATATATGTCACCAAGCAACGGACTGTCAACAAACACTCATATTATATATAATATAATATAAGGAGAATACACATTATTAAAGGAGACAAGTCCATACAAGTGAAGTGGTCACAGACTAACCGAGCAAACAGAAAGAGAGACCAACATGACACACACACATAAATATATATATGTGGATACATATCACCTCCCCTTTTGAGAAGATGGATGATTAGTAGGATGTTTACCTGGGGGTTTATCTGGGACCTTTGGGCTTGTTGTTGACGCCTGTCGTTTCGTCTGACTGTTGGGTTTGCGGCTTCGGCTCCGTCCGGAATTGTCTAACATTTTATGCTTCTTGGCTGCATTGCATAGCGAATTTAGTGGGACATCAGCCAGATGCAAACGATCGAACCAATCAAGTCCCAAAAGATTTAAATCACTCTTGGTGACGTAGCAAATTCCTGTGAATTTGGTATTGCGGAAGGAAACAGAACATTTGAGTTCACCAATTAGTTTGAGCCGCCCACCACAGGCGCTGAGAAGAGACTGGGAAGTATTGGTGATAGGTGGTCTGCCAATATTATTCCAAAGTTTCTCTGATATAACAGTAATATCAGAGGCGGTATCTAGCTGCAGACGTGCATCATGACCATTCATCTGAAGATCAAGATATTTCCGCATACCTGGTGTTGTGACTTGACGGGTTGCGCGTAGACTCAATGACTTTTTGGGGGATTTAGGACCAACATTTTGTTGAGCTTTTGCTGGATTTTGACATCTGGGCTTGCGTGGCTGACAAAAACCATTTTTATGACCGATGATTTTGCACTTGCTGCAACGATGATTTTTGTATGGGCAAGACTTTACAAAGTGCCACGCGCCACAATGCCAGCATGGTGATGGTGGGGTCTTCTTTGCAGTATTTTGTGAAGTTGGACGAGTATGTGTAGATTTCCGCGGAACATTAGAAGAAGGTGGGTCAGGACTGGATGATGAGAGATTTTTGCTCTTTCGTAATGCACGAATATCAGAGCTTCTGGAAGGTGTTGATTCGACCAGGTGTGTGTCTTTCTGCAGATTAATCAGCCGTTGATATTCATCAGCTATGTCATGTAATGTTAACTTGGGATTTTGTTCTAGCTGATTGAGCAGTCGAGTTCGGATATCTGTGAAACGAGGAGATTGGAGACTGCATATGAGAATCAAGGCTTTGAATTGATCATCTGTTAAGGACCTGAGTCGAAATCTCTCACATTCTCGGTTGACTGTGCCAACGTGAGTAAGAAAATCATCATTTTCATTCATTGCCAGCTTGAGGCAACGATAACGTATGCTGAATAATGAGGAGTGGTCTCCGAAATGTTCACGCAGCAGCTTTATTGTATCATCGAAACAATTGTCACGTGGTTTCTGGGGTAAAATTAGGTTGCAGTACCGTTCATATTCTGCCGGACCCAATTTACGTAGCAACACTCGCACCTTCCAGGCATCGTCTTGTGAGGCGAGATCAACAGTGAATAAATCCTCATAACGTTGATACCATGTGTCAAAAGTGACATTAGCCTCTGGGTCATAATTGAACTGTGAAATACTGTTCACAATTCCGTCGACAGATGGTAGCATGGTATGATTGGGATTGCTTGAAGGTGAAGCTGGACCAGTCTGTTGGTTGACGAACATTTCCATTAATTTCATTTGTCGTTCAAACAATAATTCCAATTTAGAATAATCCATAGTAAATTGTTATGTTGCTGCTGCTGAGTGGTTAATAGTAGTTTTCCCCGTCGCCAAATTGTTATGTACTCGTCGCTAAATTATTGTTATGGACTGGTCGAGAAACTAATAGTCCTGACGCGAGAAGGCGGAAATCAGAAGACCACTAGGTTTGCGATGATACTTCTATTGTCCAAACACAAGGAGACGAAAATAAATGGTCTCACACCAAAGTGGTAAGTAAGTAAAGTAGTTACACAAATTGTGAATGCGAAATATATATGAATGTTCCAGACAAAGCGTGGGAAAAATCATTAGACAGTCTTAACATGAATGGCTAATTATAATGGAGTGTCGATCCAAATATACATAGCGAATATAGCAGACATGTCAACAACCATATATGGATATATGTCACCAAGCAACGGACTGTCAACAAACACTCATATTATATATAATATAATATAAGGAGAATACACATTATTAAAGGAGACAAGTCCATACAAGTGAAGTGGTCACAGACTAACCGAGCAAACAGAAAGAGAGACCAACATGCACACACACACATAAATATATATATATGTGGATACATATCATATAGAGTATGGAAACTATATACCATTTCATACGTTTATTCCACTTGATGAATTTTAATAAAGCAAGAACAACAGTTTTTGCAGAATAAAATGGTACCATCATTTATTTCGTCGGCTTATCATCAGCTGCTTACAGCCCAAAGTCATTATTAAGTATATCTACAGAAACTGTTTTCATATACTTGCACAGAGTTCATTTTTAAACAAAAATCAACCAATATATGCAGACAATGAAAATATATATAATAGTGAACACTTTATCCCAACAACTAATGATCATACACATTGGAAACCTTCGACATTACGTAATCAGAAGAAAGAGAGAGTGAAAATACCCAGTTATCAAGGCAAGGAAAGACTGATAACCGCTTCTTTCTGAACGCATAAATAAGGTTTCAGGCGTTTGATGGAGATTGCTTCAGCAAACTTAGGGAGGATTGAACTCTTTTGCCTACTGATAATTTTGAAGTAAAAAGTTGTGTGAATGACTTGATATGATTATGAGCAATAATTTGTGCTCGAAAAGTCATCAGTTAATATTACTGTACAAAAATCTGTACAATCTTATCTATAATTTTGAAAGAGCTTGTGACGTCCACCTAATGACCTCTGTCAAGGAAATGCCTGGTAATGGCCCCGTTTAAAGCATTTGTTCCCTTTAGACATAGGCATTTTGGCACATGTTCAGAAAATCGGAGGTATGCCCTTCTTTCTTTTATTCCAATGTAACTGCTTCCGTGGATACATGTAAATTTGTATATACAGTTGGAGTTAACATGAAAAGGATGTCTTTCAACTTTCGATTGCACCAAATGATAGGCTGTGACTAATGAAGTCCTTACTCTTCTGTTGACAATTACTGTAATATTTTCACCTTTAAAATCAAGTTGAATGATGATAGGCTTTCTTCCCACTGTGATTTGCTTGACATTCGCTGACTCAACGATTGATTTGTCGCTTGGTTCCTGACAGATTTACTATGCAACACTTTAAGGTATCAGTCTATGACAAGACATACCTAACACATTTTAGTTTCTTGTACTCCTATACCTCATATCGGTTTCCAACGAAATTCTTTTAAAATTAAACTTTTTTACTAAGAAAGTTAGACTAATAGGTTTACGAAAAACGTTTAGGTATGTAGTTACACATTAAATATTATACGCCAATGATACTGGATACTTATTTAGAAAGAGTTAAGACATTATTTGAATTATAGCACACTGTGTTTAGTCGTATTTTGTTAATACGTCAAACATTTAAAACTAAACAAAAGCCTCTATCAATCACAGCTTCTTTATTCACTATCGATTTTTATTTCAACACAGGTTTAAATTTAAGTGTATGTTAATCAGAGTGGATTTCATAATTAGCTATTTTACAATTATATTATACTGTATTTGATTCTTAAACTATTTCACCTGATTATTTAGGGACTACAATAGACTATAGCGTTGGAAACTAGGTTTTGTGGTGTAATAATATGTCTTCTGACTTGAATCAGTTTAAATCTTGCGAAGCTAAGGCTCGTTGGTCAGGACACTCCAGCCACAAAGTGACAGGTTCATACCCCCAGCCGCCTACCAAGGTTCGTTCAGCCAGGTGGTTCATTAGTCCTCATGCAATAGGTGTGACCAAAATGCTTGGAAATGCATATAGCTGTTGAGTAACACTATCATTTTCACTTACTTTTAGTCGTCTATCCACACTGGATTATTTCAGGATTCTTTACTGGTTAAATAACGTCTTGATGTGTTTCTTTTCCAGCCAACATTTTATAATTATCATCAGTATTTTTTAGACAGGATTTCGTGTTGGTAAGAAGAATATGAAGTAATCAACTCAGCTTGTGCTGGTTTGTGACGGTTTTTCCCTTTAGGCATAATGATCTCGAAATGTATATACCACTAGCCATTGAGAATTGATTGTCTGTGTAATTATGATATGGCATTACGTTGGAGAAGGATGATATATATGATTTAATCACCTGAGTGTTTATTCATATGATAATTTCATAATGAGAAGTCGAAGCTGATGTGGTTTAACTTGTTGGGTGTGAAGTGTGTGCACATCGACAGAACTAGTTGGCAGTGGAGCTATATCACGAACTGACAAAAGTTAGAATTCACTGATCATTGAATTCCGTCCCAAGTGGCTGAATGGTCAACGTGCACACGTAGTAACTTAAAGGTCCCAGGAACGATGCTGACGAGTACTCAGTTGAGAAAAGGCAATTTTTCAGTGTCTTTCTAGTTTTCAGTGATTCCATAACTCATGTCAGTTCATAAACAAATCTACACTGAAATTATTAAACTCAAATAACATTCAGATTGATTACTGAGTAAGCTAATTATAGTAAGAATATAGTTGAATGCACTTCAGGTAACTCTATGACAAATAATCTTGTGATACAACTGTTTTTAGAGTAAAAAGAAAATTTATTTATGATTAAGTTACCTATATTGACTTGCTTCATTTCATTATATTTTTGGAATGTTATATTAAACAGTTTCTTATAAAATGATAGACTGGTAACGCATTGTATCGACTAAGTGACTTGACTGATTGATGACTGGAGAATAAATAATTTCATATGAACGAATCCTACTAATATACAGACTGTAGTACCGGAAGTAGAATAGCTTAGCATTGCGGGAGAGAACTGAAGTGTTATTCATCTTTGTGTGTAATGCAGCAGTTTTTCTCTCTGTCAACGACGCTTAACTATGAGAGTCAGTACAAAAACTTCAATAAAATATGTTTCATTGATGTCTTTTTATGCTGTTTTACTTAACTGATTGAATGTCTATTGACAATCAAGTTGTTGTTTGAACTCAATCACCAGGAATTTATCTCTTACATACCAGGAAATGAGCCACATAATTATTGTGTGAGAGCTAACCATACCATCCAAACTGCCTTGGCTGAAGCAGGCGGATTGATATTAGAACCTGAAATCCACTGATACAAATTAGAGTGCTTATACCAATGAGCTTCACCTAAACCTATTAACTATTTTTTCTATACATGATAGAAAAAATAGTTCTTCAAACTAGAAAAAAATAACTTTCATTTAGATTATGAGTTGATATAAGCTGCAGAATAATTAATAATAACCGCAGAGTACTATATGTTTGTTTCTCCCTAGTATGGAACTCCTCAGTAATACAAACCAAAGACTCCGCCTCCACGGATATAACTAAGGAACACAATGCTGCAAAGTGAGCCAGGTTACCGTTCAGTCACAGAGACAGCATCTAATGTTACATGAATTCTAACTTCTCATACTGAACAGCAAAAATGTAGGACAAAATCGCTGTCCACTACTCGCTGCATTTCAGCAGTTCTCTAACGGATGTCATTTCATGATCTCACTTGAGTCCAGTCAAATTCCTGCGAAATAAAACTTGTAACTTAAGTTACATTCTGACTGTTCACTAGTATTTTAGATTTAAATGTAGATACTGATCAGACTGATATCAGTAGAGTAGACTGAAAGTTCGTGATGCTTAACCATTATAAATTCTGGCAGCAGTGCTAACATAAACAGTCCTGAAGTGATTCGTATCCGCAAATAATGTATTTCTAGGTGAACTGCTTTATACTGTGCATTGTTTTAAAATATTCACAAAAATTTCATAAAATCAATGTGAATACTGAATTCTGTTGCTTTTTTATGCTCTAGGAAGGTTTACAAAAGATATTTAAGCAAATCCCACCAATTGGTGATTTACAGACTCTTGCAAGTCATTTACAGAAATCTAGGAAACGAATCAGGTCAGTTTTTGTGTCGGTTTTATATTATATTGCTACTCATCCCTAACATTTCAGATGGAGCATATGGTTTCAACGCCGCGTTTTTATTCCACTCAGCTAAGAACCATCCCATTCAGCTGGCCGCATAACTTTCCACACGCTTTTATTTCCTCCTCACGTGGTCTCTATGTTATCCTGAGATACCCAAGTCACCGCTTCCCACTCAGACCCCATTCGAAGACCTGGTGTTTAATGCCATGCATGTATAATACATCCACATTTCTTTCTGTATATTTGTTGATTGGGTACCAGGTTCATGGTTGTTTCGCTTCCAGAGTTGTTGGTGAAAGCATACAACCTGTTTAAAATGATTTTGTTATTGAGCACGCCAGGTTTCTGAACCAAATTGAATCACTGACTGACACAGCATTAGTGTTAGACGTTCGGATGTTATTACTTTCACTAAGTGGATCCCTGAAGTGACTTCAGAATAATGAACATCTGTCTTGCTTTTGTGCTCCTGGCTTTGATGGCCTCATCCATGATGCCTGTAATTGAAACGATGCTTCCAAGCCAGTGATAGAGATGACTTCTTTTAGCCTTCTTCCAGTGATTGTGATTGGTGCTTGTTATTGTTGGTTGGGTATCTACATCATCATCACCTCTGTTCTCTTCGTTCACCTAAAGTTCAGATTTTGCTTCTGAGAATTTGTTTGAGACAATACTTAATACAAATACAGGTAATATCAGTTTGTACAACAGACGACAATGACTAATTTACTATGAACTGCGTGTAAGTGTTTGTACACATCAATGTGTAAAGGCATAAGAGGTAAAACGAAGCTCTGAAACACTATGAAATTCATCAAAAAGAGGTTAGTCATTTCGGAGTAAGAGAGCATAAAGGTGGCTACAACGAAGAAAAAAAAAATTCTATTCGACGAAGCCGTTAACTAGACTTTATACAATTAGTTATATATAACAAATGGATGAGAAAATTCCAGAACTATTTTCTACCAGGAGTCAAAATATAGAGAATAACAAGATGAAGTTACACATTACAAATAGGCATGAATATAACTAAATGAATATAATTAAGTAATAATGATTTCGCTGTGAAAATGACTGATAGTGATGGCTATGACATAGGCTGTTGAATGTCCTTCTTTTGGTTGTATAGCATTGGGTTGATTTTTCGGATCGCTAATCCTTTAGTTACTCTCAGATTCTTTTGATCTGTCTACCTATAGAAAGGTTTGATCGAATCTTATATCAAAGCCAAGGACTAAGGGAACTTTGCTGGCAACTATGCCTCATTGGTGATCGTAGCCTCTAAGAAGGTGTACTGATAGCCAGTATACTTGCTATAGCGTAGAGAAGCTTATAAATAAGTTATAATTTTGAGGAAACGTCTCACTAGGTTTTATTTAGTTTGTCTTGGATAACAAAGATGAATTATGATGCACACTTGTAAATTTCAAATCGTGGATATAAATCAGTTCGCTGTTGCTGATTTACTTTCCCTTATCAAGCGTAAATGTGGTTTTGATTGTCTCATTTAGTTGTTTTATTGACATTCTTTAACAAATAACATTTAAATATGTTCCAAGATCGTCGTTTATATTTTGAGAATAAAGTCGGGGTCGGACTGGTTCATGTCAAATAGGTTGGACGTTAAAATAACGCAGATTTTGTCTATCTACTTGAGTCAGTTTATGATGTATGCAATGAAACCGTGTTAAAGTGAGTAGCCTTTTAATTACTCATGGAAGTCAACGGGCAGTATTTACGCTTGAAATTTTTCACTGCCCATGATATTCGGCATATCCTATATTGTGATCGCGATCCCCTTGGTGTGAACTAGTCTAATTTCTTGATCACTTAATTTAACAGCTTGATAAATAATACGATTAGTGTGTTGGTGACTGGAGGAAATAAGCAGAAGGATATAAGCTGAGTCTTCGCTTTTAGTGCTAATCACCAGCAAACCATATATACAGCTCTCAGGAATTCCAATTAAATCTTGCAGGCGTTAGGCGTGTAATCGCTTTTTTGTTTGAGACACACCCGAACAAGTGTAGAATGTCATTAGATAGATTACTTGGACATTGAATAGGAATTAATGTTGTGTTATCAGGTCCATTATGCTGACTAGATTCTATTTACTAGGTTTGTCTAGTCTCTATCAAGTTAGGAGGTGGATACACCATCACAGAGCTCAACACCACTTCTAGGTCACACTTTGGCTTTCTTGCAGTCAATACACGCGAACACTTCAAACATGTAATTTGACTATTAATACTTGTTTGATAGAACTCTGCTTGAAATCGGATCATTTTAAGATTCTTTCAAATTTCTTCTGCTGTCACGTTAAAATTACTAATAACTTTAATGAAGTAACATGTTTATTATATAAAATAATGTAATTTTTATTATCACTGCAAAGCTTTCTTTGTGATCAGTGGCTGCAGATAATACGTTTTAGTTTGGGCCTTCAGCGATATCGTATGCCATCACCTACAAGTTCACGTCATCAAGTAAGTTTTATGTAAAGGAGAATAACATTACATGATGAATTTCTCTTTATTAGATGATGTTGTTTAATATAGCCAACAACTTCCTGGAGCCGCACTACAGCCACCTTTTGTTTATCACTTTCTAGAGGGTCAGTTATTATTGCCTTCGTGAATGATAAATTACTTAGCTTTGCGACCTCTACGCACAGAATCAGCTTCTCCTGTTGAGAGAGGAATATGGGGCGAAAAACGTGAGTTTAACAGACACATTGCTGGGTACCTTCCATTGTGATTCAGAAGAGGTCAAACAAAATCTATGAGAAGATAGATTTTCTTATTTTCATCTGATGCTCACTAGCGACTGGCCTTATTCAGGCAGTTATCTGAGGATCTAGCGGGAAGCCTTGACCAGTAGGGTACAGCAGATTGAAGGGGATGACAGTTACTCATCGAAGAAGATATTGCGAAGTGGTCACGCTATTTCGTGCATTGGCAGAAGTTAGAATTCATGGGCCATTGGATCGAGTACTAGTGGCTTAATGATCTACGACCTCGCCTTTTAACCAGAAGATACTGGGTTCGAACCCCACAGTGTGGGTACTGTTCACTATTCCCAGGTTTTCCAATGGTTCTTTAACCAGTGTCAGCTCATGATGAAATCCTCCAACCACGATTGATTTTGTCACATTTTGTCGATACTGGTAGCTAAGGGGACAGAAAAAATACCTCTTATGATTACTATCGCACTCCTTCAAACCCATCTAACTCTTCTTTTACACCTGGCTGAGGGAACGTTAATCTAGGCGAGTAAATAAACCTAGTTTTGCATTCAGAATAAGCTTGTCTCTCTCTCTTTCTGTATTGGCCTAAGCAAATATGAAAAAGTGATTACTCATAACTACTTACATAAATTTCGAGCACAATTAATGGTGTATTCATATGACTTCCCAAATTATCTTGTACATTATTGCTTCTTCCCATTTTTAATAGAATTTCCTATAAGTCGGATTGGTGTTGAGTTATTTCTATTACATGTGTTTTAGCTTTTGATTAGGTGCACAGAGATTCGGTAATTAAACTATCTCTTTTCGCCCAACCGTATTACTTTTAAATACTTTTACTGTCTCCTATTCTATTATTGGGTTTTGTGTAAGTGCACACACAGCAATGGCTGAGTTTTTTCTAGACTAATTAACTTCGCTAAGTCTGTGGTTCTAAATCTAACTGAATTCATGTGCTATGATAACCTAAATGATCTCAATTTACTCATTTGACCCACGTATTTGACCTTACACTCATTGCATAGTGTTCGGTAAGTAATTTTGTCTAACTGGGTTAATGAGATCCTCAAGCTGAGTGAATTCTTACAATTAAACACCACTCTGGTTCTTGACTTCATAAGTGATAAAAGTGCTCACGTAAGTTGGACCTTTAGCTGGGCGTTGGGTGAGCACCATTAAACTAGGACAGTACAGTTGTCTATCATTCTATGGTTATCAATAGTTCTCTATCTAACATCGGTTTGTGACATAATCTATCCTATAAGTTGAGTTTCTTTGAATAAAAAGTTAATTATCTCCACTCAATCAATATTTTTTTCAGAGTGTTGATTATATTACAAAAAGATTTAAAACATTCACAAATATGTCAGATTCTTTTCAAAACAATGATGACAATGATTCAAAACCACCCAACAAAAGTAATACACTAAATGTCAGTGATCAATTAAATACTGGAAAAAAGCCAATAAAATCGATAGACTTTCACTCTGAAAGAAATGATAATAGACGTGATAAAATTCATAGAAATGAACTGAGCAAGAAGTAAGATTTATGAAAGTTTCCCCTTAAAATATCGTTATTTATATAAGTACCATTGTACAAGGGATTGGTAATCAGTAGTTAATTTTTGATAGTGATTTTTTCTAAGCTTTGTTATCTTACCTTGGACGTCTCGTTATTACACTAGGAAATTTAATCAGTACATTTTTGATAGTGATTTTTTCTAAGCTTTGTTATCTTACCTTGGATGTCTCGTTATTACACTAGGAAATTTAATCAGTACAATCATCAGTCTGCATAAAAACATGAATTTTTTCAGTTACAATAAATGTTTATCTACACTTTTTAATAAGCTAAGAATAATTTCGTGTCACATGGTAAATAAACAGAAGCCGGAGTTCATGTGTCATTGTACACGTGTTACGCTTGACAAGCCATCATCTCCATCGCTGATCGGTGTTAAATGACATAAGACTAGGTTGAGAAAGAGTTAAGGTCAGTCAAATCGCAACGTGGCATTAATCCGTGAAGTCTTTGACTGTTGATTTGAGCCACATAATGAGATGTAAACTGCCTGACCGGGGTCATTGACACGTTAAGAATCAGTGGTTTGTAAGTGTTGGCGAGACTGCTCTGAATAATTCTCAACAGCACAGATGCATTCACCCAGACTCAGTAAATCTACATTGTTCCCAATGGAATGATTCTTTCTCAAGTACATTTCTGATTATTTTAATTCTTTTGAATTTCCTTTTCTCTCTAACGGTGTCTGGCTTGAGAATTATGACAATTTAAATTGCTAAACTGAAAGTGCAGTTGAGCTCCGACCCCGTAGATGTACTCAGCTTTTAGATAAGAGCTCCTAGGTACACTATTCTGAACAGTACTAAACTAGGAAAAGCAGCTGTTGAGGATTCCTCAGTTCCAAGTAGTTTTCTAATTAAAGTCGTTTTTTTGATTAAAGAAATGCCTGCTAAGCAACACTTGAAAGTGATATTGACTTTTTTGGACAAACCTCATCAGATTTAAATGTTGTCAGTGAATAACTGTCTTTACACCCAACTTGATGAATCTCAGAAATTACAGTTTTGCATGTTTGTTAATTTACTTTTGCAACGCCTTGTGTCACCTAATTTGTGTTTTTTGCATTAGTTTAGTCTGAACTGGTGTGAAGATGGCATCAATACTTCCATGTCTGTTGCTTGCTGTTTCCTTTAATTAGTTTTTGATGTGGTTTTGTTCTCTGAGCTGGATAGTTAGTTTGCGAAGCTTTCATCACCTTACTGGGTGACATCTTCAGCGCATACTTCAAATTGAAGTGAGCTTTTAGGTTTCTCCACGAGTTTATTAATCATTCCTCCTGGTGACCTTGGACGTGATTGGTTGTTTATGTATGTTTTCACACCTTCTAGGTTACTTGTGTTGGGACTGATTGTTTCTGTGACTTGAACTTTGGCCAATCGTGTGTGAAGTTTCTTTCTTATTGGTTGATAAATTTTGTCTATCTCGATGTGTCTATTGATTGATGATTCACTGGAATGCCAAGCTTCTAAAAATTCTCTAGCATTCTTGTTATTTCCTTTGTCTAATATTTGAACGTTGTCCCAGTCGAATTGATGTCCGTGGTTGTCTGTGTGTAGTGAAATGAGGGAGTGTATATCATGTCTTTTGACGGCTAGCTTATGTTCGTGGATACGAAGACGAAGGGGACGTCCACTTTGGCCAATGTAGTGTTTTTCACAGTTGTTACAGTTTATTTTGTAGATGATGTTGGTTTTGTCTTCTTTTGCTGTTGAGTCTTTTGGTTGACATAGAATTGAGTGCAGCGACTTTGTTGGTTTGTGTACGACGTCAATTCCTAAAGGTTTGAAGAGTCTTTTAGTGATTTCTGAGATATCCTTTATATATGGTAAGGCGATTTTCTTTGTGTTTTCCTTGGTGGCTTTTGTTTTGGTAGGTTGGCTTGGGGGTATATGTCTCTTGATGAAATTCCGGGGATATCCATTCTTTTGGAAGACGTCCATGAGATACTTTTCTTCAATTTTTCTTAATGTGGGAGTGCTGCAGTGAGTCCTTGCTCTCTTGAATAGTGTTTGTATGCAGTTCCTTTTGTGTGCTATTGGGTTGTTGCTGTTGTAATTCAGTATTTGGTCTGTGTGAGTTGATTTCCTATAAACTTGAGTTTCTAATTCTCCTGTAGTTGTTCGCCTGACCAAGACGTCCAAAAATGGTATTTTGTTCTCGGATTCCTCTTCTCTTGTGAATTTGATGTCGTTGAAGACGTTGTTTATTAAGTTGTGAGTTTTGTCTAATTCGTTTCTTTTGATTATTACAAATGTGTCGTCGACGTAGCGTATCCAAATCTTGGGTTTGATCTTTGGTAGAATTATGTTTTCGAGTCTTTGCATCACTGCTTCTGCAATCAAACCTGTTATTGGCGATCCCATGGGTGTTCCTTTGACTTGTTCATATATTTGGCCGTTGAATTGGAAGTATGTTGTTAGGCATAGATTTATGCATTCCATCCAGCTTGTGTGTTGCATTTTTGATTGTTGTGGAAGTTGTTCGTCGTTGCTAATTAATTGCTCCATGGTCTCTTTTGCTAGTTTTTGTCCGATAGAGGTATATAATGCTGTCACGTCGAAGGATACCATTATTTCTTGTTCATCTATTTGGATGTCTCTGATTTTCTCTAGGAATTGGATAGCAGAGTTGATGGAGTGATCACAGGATTCCGTTAGGTGTTTTAGTTTTCTGTATAATTCCTTGGACAAATTATATGTTGGAGTTCCTGGGAGTGATACAATTGGTCGTAACGGGATATTTGCCTTGTGTATTTTGGGTCTGCCGTAGAATCGAGGTAGGACTGGTCCATTGGATTTCATGAAATCCAATGGACCAGTCCTACCTCGATTCTACGGCAGACCCAAAATACACAAGGCAAATATCCCGTTACGACCAATTGTATCACTCCCAGGAACTCCAACATATAATTTGTCCAAGGAATTATACAGAAAACTAAAACACCTAACGGAATCCTGTGATCACTCCATCAACTCTGCTATCCAATTCCTAGAGAAAATCAGAGACATCCAAATAGATGAACAAGAAATAATGGTATCCTTCGACGTGACAGCATTATATACCTCTATCGGACAAAAACTAGCAAAAGAAACCATGGAGCAATTACTTAGCAACGACGAACAACTTCCACAACAATCAAAAATGCAACACACAAGCTGGATGGAATGCATAAATCTATGCCTAACAACATACTTCCAATTCAACGGCCAAATATATGAACAAGTCAAAGGAACACCCATGGGATCGCCAATATCAGGTTTGATTGCAGAAGCAGTGATGCAAAGACTCGAAAACATAATTCTACCAAAGATCAAACCCAAGATTTGGATACGCTACGTCGACGACACATTTGTAATAATCAAAAGAAACGAATTAGACAAAACTCACAACTTAATAAACAACGTCTTCAACGACATCAAATTCACAAGAGAAGAGGAATCCGAGAACAAAATACCATTTTTGGACGTCTTAGTCAGGCGAACAACTACAGGAGAATTAGAAACTCAAGTTTATAGGAAATCAACTCACACAGACCAAATACTGAATTACAACAGCAACAACCCAATAGCACACAAAAGGAACTGCATACAAACACTATTCAAGAGAGCAAGGACTCACTGCAGCACTCCCACCTTAAGAAAAATTGAAGAAAAGTATCTCATGGACGTCTTCCAAAAGAATGGATATCCCCGGAATTTCATCAAGAGACATATACCCCCAAGCCAACCTACCAAAACAAAAGCCACCAAGGAAAACACAAAGAAAATCGCCTTACCATATATAAAGGATATCTCAGAAATCACTAAAAGACTCTTCAAACCTTTAGGAATTGACGTCGTACACAAACCAACAAAGTCGCTGCACTCAATTCTATGTCAACCAAAAGACTCAACAGCAAAAGAAGACAAAACCAACATCATCTACAAAATAAACTGTAACAACTGTGAAAAACACTACATTGGCCAAAGTGGACGTCCCCTTCGTCTTCGTATCCACGAACATAAGCTAGCCGTCAAAAGACATGATATACACTCCCTCATTTCACTACACACAGACAACCACGGACATCAATTCGACTGGGACAACGTTCAAATATTAGACAAAGGAAATAACAAGAATGCTAGAGAATTTTTAGAAGCTTGGCATTCCAGTGAATCATCAATCAATAGACACATCGAGATAGACAAAATTTATCAACCAATAAGAAAGAAACTTCACACACGATTGGCCAAAGTTCAAGTCACAGAAACAATCAGTTCCAACACAAGTAACCTAGAAGGTGTGAAAACATACATAAACAACCAATCACGTCCAAGGTCACCAGGAGGAATGATTAATAAACTCGTGGAGAAACCTAAAAGCTCACTTCAATTTGAAGTATGCGCTGAAGATGTCACCCAGTAAGGTGATGAAAGCTTCGCAAACTAACTATCCAGCTCAGAGAACAAAACCACATCAAAATTATCCACCTGAGCTACAAATCTTCTCTATCATACCTTTAATTAGTCTATGAAGTAGTCGAGTGAATCAATACCTGGTTATAACAATAAACAGGCAAACTTTAAACACAGACACCCAGGAGACGCAGATACACCAATCATCTTGGAACTAGCAATTGTGCTAGAAAGGAAATTTCGGCCCCTAACTCAAGCCAAGGCTTAATCCTTCCTTGATGTAGCTCTAATTTATCCCCAACCTCACCTTCATCCTAATCTATGTCCAACTTACCCCTAATATTTCTCTTATTTGGTTAACCTGTCCCTAGACGGACCTAACCTTAGTGTTTCCCTACCTAATCCTAGCCAGATATCCAGTTTAACATAAATTCATTCAGCACATTCATTTCATGAATGTAGTGTTATTAACCTGGTTTCACTGCTTTGCCCTGACTTAGTTTTCCAAGGTCATTGGTGGATTCTTGCTTATTAAGTGACTGAAATTTAACTTCGTCAGTAAACACCCCAAATGAATACCGAATACAACTTTTCTACCTCAACACTTGTGCTTCGCTAAGCCACGAATATATCTAGATACAAGACTGTTTCCACTCATACAATTCTTTATTTATATTTTGTTCTAATTAGTGGTAATTGATTACTGAATTGTCTTTAAAATAGAAATAATGATAGCTACACAAACTTTTAGTAGTAATACACACACAAAAAGTGATCAATCAACATAGCTACTTTATTCGTTACCGTAAACAAACAGACACAAAGAATGCATGCTGAGTAAATACCAACAGAAATAATGATAAGCTGTACAATGTTTATAATTATGCTATTTAATTTATGAGCGGATTTGTAATATACCCTTACAACAACGTCTATTGTAGCGTTACTGCGTTTACGTATTGACATAAGTAGTATATATTTGATGGATATAAAATTATAAATTGGAAATTGTTTTCTGATGCATTTGTTTGGACGGCTTCAGAGTCCCTTCAAGTCTGCTACAGTAAATTATGCTTCATAGTCATATCTAGGCTTCAGGCTTCAAACTAAACGTATAAAGCTGTATTTTCATGATTTTATGCCATTATACACGGCCTATTACATCAGGAATATCGAGTTACCGTAGCAAGGAAAGACCTACAACTGCTTCTTTCTGAACACATTAACTGGGTTTACAGCAAATGATAGTTATTGTTTCCATACTTGAGAAGCACTGAATTATACTGTCTGTTGATTATCTTAAAGGTAAGATAAGACACTATAAAAGACTGACGCAATAAAGTGAAATCGTTTGATAATAATAATAATACTTAGACCTTTTAAAAGGCATCAAAGTAGAACTGTCCAATGTAAGACTGAAATTAAACAGGACTTGAAACCATTTACTTACATATACCACATCACCCTTCAAGCTGTTGGCTAGTAATAACTCAACATCATTGAAAAATCCCGTGTCACCACCTCAGGAAGCTGTATGACATCCTATACGAGCAGTATCCATCACCCAAAATGAAGATACAACTTGTTTACAAATAGTTTTCTACATCTGAATCAACTGACTCGTACAAAACACCATGATTATATATATAGTCATTATTATTATTATGATAAGAACATTAAAACGTGTTGATTTTGGTTCTTAGGATGGTTAATATGAGCCCAATTCTCAATTTGTCAATCAATTTGCAATTTACTCAGTTAAACGTGGAATTTCATCACAGTTTCCTTTAGAAACCAAAATTAATCCAATTGCAGTATTTACTCTGCTCGATATTATAAATGGTAATCAAGAAAGTAGGGATGATTGCATGAAACTATTTACTACTGATTGGTTGAGAGGAGTAGTTGTACACCACTCATATCAACAAGTATGAGGGATAAAGTTATTACTTTTTAAGTAATGGAGAATATTTTTATAGGTCCAGTGTATGATTTCGGTGCTGTCGAATGAAGGAAAATAAGCAAGGAAATTGTGATGAAATTTCGCCTTCATGACGAGATAATATCAACACGATCATTAGAAGTCAAGTAGGCTATATCACTTGTCTCCGTGTCAGAATGAAACTTTCGCAGAGATACATCCGCATCCCGGTGAGTTGTCCCTTCCAGGGCCAAAAGTTCTCCAGTTTGTAAAAAAATCAAATCAAAAATTAACACAATTCATTATTTACTCATTCATGTAAAATTAACTAAATAACCGGATGAAAATTTATTTGCAGATCGACAGTAGAAAAGAATGACAAGCTTTCAGAAGAAGAACTACCGGTTGTTGAGCCGACACTCATCCGGTCGTTAACCACTGGACACAATCAGAGGTATACAGTGGACACGAGTTATTCAATTGAAAAGGAAGCAAACATTTTTCCAGTCGCCTGCCCAGTACTACTTCGACTGTGGTTAGATGAAATAAAGAAGGATAAATATTTTAAATATTTGAAAAAAACTGAACAAATTATCAATAAGATCCCATTGGAATCCAGTTGTTGCCTGGATAATGATTCAAAGCTATTGACAAAAGCATTTATGGAAGTTTTGTATACACCGTCAAAATTTGGTGATAGTCTGTTATCAAATTTGGCGAAAATATCTAGTAAAGGTTGTCGTTGTAGTCGACAAATACCACCAGATATAACAGATTTAGAATTTGAATTATTCTTGAGTAAACTGTTACCATCATATCAAGCTGCAGTGATTATGGTGTATGATTCCCGGTAAGATATTTAATGTAATTTCTTTCTTTTAGTCAGTTAGAATACGAAACATGCATTGACATAAATTAACTTTTTTTCAACTTGCGTTAGCCTTTTTGAAAACTGAGTAAATATTCACTCAGCTGAATTTACAAAAGTATATTTTGATACTGAATAGTTCAAATTAAAGTTTATTAAATGTTCAAGGAGAAGAGAAAACAACAGAAAGACTTAGAAGAAACAACAATAGTTTATGTCCTTCCTTGATAATTTGGAATTATTAGTAGATTTAGATTTCAGTGTGATCTGTGAATGCATAGAAGACTTGAAAATAACCGGTTACAAGGATTTAGGTGAAATGTAACTTAAGTGGATTCAAAGGTCACTCTAGTAATTATAACTATCACAAGATGTCGAGTTAAATCACGAAGTGACATCACTTAACGAACCATTGAAAATTACAGAGTACTGAACAGCTGTTTCAGTTCAGCATGTGGCTCTTTTGCCGCACGAACCAATGACCCCACTGTTAGGGATAGAACCTAGAACCTTCAGGTTACGAGGCCAACCAGTTGACCATTCAGCCACCAGGTTGTAATTCAATGGCTCGTGAATTGTAAATTCAGCTATTTTGCAGTATTTAGCGCCACCGTCAGCAGTGATTATCTGTGCGCACACCCAACTTCATGGCTGTTAGATAGTATGGATGTATATACACATATGTAATCTTGAAAGTATGGGTAAAATAAACTTACTGAGCTTTAGAATTTTTAGGGTGATAGTGGTACAGTTGAATCCCACAACTTATGATTACGAACTTTAAAACATTTACAATTTAAATTCCCTAAACTTGGAAGAAAAATTGCAGCTTAACGAAAAGCATAATATATGCTCAGCAAGGGGACGCACAATATGTCATACGAAACTAGTGAACAGTGTATATCAAGGCTGCCACGCCTAATATCTGAACACCGAATATAGAAGACTAGCAAGTGTTAGTCATACAATGAAACATCGTATTCTTTATTAGATGAAAGAAGTTAAGCATAACGCAGAATAGACAAAGCTAAAGGAAAAGAATTTACGTATTTTGAAGCATGTTTTTAAAACACTATGTAGGTAAACAACATTACCAGATATTTATGTATATTTATCTATATTTAGATTACTTGATGCGATGACAGTGGGAACATGTAGCCTCCTACGCCAGTTATATATAAGGCAACAGTATACTATACCAACTCTACAGCATATATTCCCTGGTAAAAGCCATACACAAAGTGCACGTGCCAATATACCAAAAAGGTTGTACAGTGGATGGAAAGTTACAGGTACTGGAGCCTGTGCATCAGTGTCTACAAAAGCTGCAGATTACCGGTTTATGTGTTATAATCTAGCTCAAAATATGAATATTAATGAAGAAGAAATCTCTTATCATGGAGAGCAACCACTACTGTTAAGAAGATATTATGAACGACCAAGACCTGGTGATTGTCTAATATTTATTAAAGAGAAACTCTGTTTTATTGGTTCATCGTTTACAGGCTATGAAGAATTACCGTGGACTAAAGAACAGTTGGACAGAAAAGTGATTGAATGCAGAAACCAGTTGATTTCTCATGGGTTCTTTTTACCACCTAATTTTCATTTAGTTTAACAACAAAGAAAAAAAAAGAATGTAATAAAAATGATTTTGAGAAAATTATGACTTTAATTAAGGTTGAAACGACCTTTGAAATAATGAATTTAAAATGTTATTTACCCTGGTTAAGAAATACTGCTGACAGTTCTTTTTTATCTCTGAAACAGTGGCAAACTAGATGTATATTCCCGACAAGTCTGAGTAATTGGTACAGACAACTAAACATGACATGACGTTTCATGTAACCGGCGATGGGCTATACTTATGTTCTGATGAATGATGGCAGCATCCAGTGGGATTCTTCGAACTCGTAGCCCAATAGCTGAAAGCCGAATACTTAAGGCAATGACCTGCGTCTCCAGTCATTTGGTATAATTATTTCTCCCTCAAACAGTGTGATGTTACCACGTGAATGCTATCGCCTAATTACAGAAGAATCCGTTGGTGATGGAACTGTGATACTCAATTTGCTGAATTCAATTGTTTTGACGACTATACTCAATAGTTCTAACTGAAAATATAGTCTTCTTGTTAAGTGTTGGGATGAATCAGTCGTCAGGACGCCTTGGGCTTAAACATCACACTTATTAGAGCCCATCAGTAGAGCTACTGGAACATTTAGGAAACTCACGTCCATTCCTAAATTTGAATGTTTCATCCAATGTCATATCACAGACTTTACCACCAAGCTGTTCGTAATATGACTGATTGATATTAGTGAATTGATCACCAAAAAGTAGAAGCCTAAACCTGATTTTGTTGATTCACATCCATCGATTCGATAAGCAGTGTAGTACTCAATGAGATAAATGCCCTATAACTTGATATTACATGTGATACCTGCCTACACTGAACATCTTATAGCTGCTAACTTAAGCGCATATCAAGTTTGTATGATCGTACAGAGAATATTAATCACAGAGGGCTTATGGTGAGAAATACATAGATTATGGATTTTGTAAGGATAGGGATTAATTTCACTGTGAATTTATTCGCAAACCAACATTAGTTAGAGATCATTGAAAACCAAGGAGTACTGTACACTTGTTGCGTCCTAATTTGTAACTCTTCAGGTGTTTGTGGCTCAGTGGCTTTCAATAATCCCCTAGCTGACATTGGTTCGTGAAGAAATCTATGCTGAAAGAAATAGGTGGTGTTGAATTTCGTTCCACAGTTACAAGAGAAAACAGACAGACTACAAACCATCACGATATTACATAATAATTTATCGTGATAAGTATGCTGGAAATCGAGTACTGAAAAATCACTTATTTCGTCTACTTTCAAGAAGTATATGGGGAAGAAAAATTTAAGAAGACTGATATGCAGCTCACTTAGATTTTTTCTGTTTTAAATAAAAAATACCATGGGTACACTAGGAATATCCACAGTCAGCTGTCTATGTGAACATTCTAACCGTTACTAAGGTATAACCGTAGAACTAACAATTCAAGCAAGTTAACTGACCAAACTTTATGTTACTGTGGGTTTCGCTGAAGAACCATCATTCTAAATTTATAATAGAGTAGGGTTTAAGTGCAATTATATTTTACCTCCAAGCGACCAGAAAACGGTATTCATCATTAGTATGACATCGAAGGTATAGTAATAACTAGGTGACGTCTACAAACAGTTATATCCGACAACTTTTGTATCCCCCTGACTTTGTGTAAACCAGCTGAAAGACGCTTAGACCACCAACTAGCTTACACCCATCTGGACAAATTAAACCGAAGTAGAATATCCATTATAGTGCCATTGGACCTTGAAGCCTGGATTTATGAAATCATTTGAATTAGTTATTTGTTGACCCATCAACACACAGTAATGTCACAGTAGATGATTAGTCGTCAACATTCAGCAGGGGGAACCCATGGAATCATTAACCATCATTTTCAGCAGAAGAAAAAGAAAGTGAAATTATTTATATCACAGATAAATAAAAGAAAATTATTCAAAAATCATCAGATCATAAAAAGTGAAGTTATAATAAATAAGTAAGATCAAGTATAATAAAAAAATATAAAATAAGACTGAAAAAAAGAAAATATAAATAAAGGTTTATGTTGAGCAATTAATTTAACATTTTGGCCAAGTTTTATAATTTATCGATATAACATCAAGTACGTAACTGGGATACGTTGTTGAAACATAATCGATCAGTGTAATATTAACACCGTTTACACCAGCTCGACGATTAGGATTAGTTACCCAACCTTCAAAGTATTTTCCAGCAATTTTAGCTAAATGATGAACTGAAGAAAATGGATGGCGTAAAATGAATGCCACTGTCGGTGTGAGAACACCTTGATGTACGTAGAAAGAATTGGCTGGTCGATACTGATGAGGCCTGTAAAGCAGAGGGATAACACAATATACTGGTGATGAATAATATATATATATATATATATATATATATATAATATATATATACTCAGTTAGAGGATCACCAGAAGCCAGAAATCATTGAATAGTTGCTTCTTCCTAGTTGGGGATCCTTCAGCAGTATGGTATAATAAGGTGAGCAATATTGAGGTTAGGCGTAGATAAGAATGAGCATATCAGTTGATGAAGTTGTAAAGCTACATCGATTAAGATGGCTAGGGAACATGTTACGCAGGCTAAGCCATGAACTCCCATCATCGAGGAATGTTAGCTGATAGATAACTAGGTTGGAAAAGAGTTAGCGATGCTCATACCAAAACAAAGTACCAGCACATAAAGCCTTTGACTATCAGTTTGAGTCATGTAGGGGAGGTGTAGACTGTCTGGCTGGATGGACCGTGGAGAAGCTAAGAACCAATGGTTGGAAGCTGTTAGTGACATGGCACGAAATCGTCTTAATCTATACATATGTATTCACTTTTCGCAATTTCTCAGAGGCATAAAATGCCTCGTGTTTTTTTACGTTTCTGTTCTTTCTCTCGTATACTCCCTCTCATTTGATTGTATTAGAATTATTTCTCCTACTTTTGTTTCCTGAATGGGATGTGGAAACTTGAAATGCTGCACTTTAGTACAAAGTTTTACGTTACAAAGTCAGTCAACTGCTCCCTGATGTCTGACATTGCATAAATACAGAGTAATGTTAAAACTTTTACAATGAGATGAAAAACATCCGGAAGAGAAACCATTATTGCAGTTTATAATTTATAGAACTTTTATCTGTGTATTCTGAGTCAACCGTGAAATCACCTGCAGGAAGAATTTAAGTAAATTCACAAGTACGCATTCGATGTAGTCAATTGAATATGGAAGTAATGCATCATACTGAAGAGTGCCAATCATTGTATACAACTTAGGTTTTAACGCCAGCATAACTGTATGGCTTTCGCCGAAGTAATAATACTCCCAAATATGCCTTTTAGTGAAAGAAACTGTTGCAATATTTTCAGATATGCAGTAGGAATGCTTCGGTAAATATTGTTAAGTTAATAGACCTATTTGGCTTTTATTGAGTTTTTTGTTTCTGATATGTATCCATATATATATATATATATATATATATATATATATATATATATATATATATATATATATATATATATGGTGGTCTCTCTTTCTGTTGCTCTCTGAGTCTGTGACCATTTCACTTTGATGAACCTATCTCCTTTAACAATGTATATTCCCCTTATAGTATATATAATATGTGTGTTTGTTGACAGTCTGTTATATTTCGCTATGTATATATGGATTGATACTGCATTATAATTAGCCAATCATGTTAAGACTGTCTATTGATTTGTTCACACACTTGTTTGGACATTCATATATATTTTGCTCTCACACTATTGTGTGATACATTTGATTCTCCTTGTGTTTGGAAAATAGAAGTATCATCGCAAACCTAGTGGTCTTCTGATTTCCGTCTTTTTTGCGTCAGGACTATTAAATTCTCGACCAGTACATAACAATAATTTGGCGACGAGTACATAATAGTTTCCCTACGACGTGTTATGACTATAGAACCTTACATCTTACGAATTACACGAACCAAGATAATATTTTTTTCATGTATTGTGGGGATTTCAATCAATTTCAATTTAGGTTTCATCATGAATAGCCATGAATTAAAGAACCAATCAGAACAAGACAGCACTGACTGACTGGTTTCAACGTAGGACTTTGTACAGATGTACAGCAGTTTAAGTTGCCACACTCTATGTAGCACGCAGATCAAGAGAAGATAGAAAAGATAGATAATAAACAGAAGTGTAAGGGAGGAAGAATAGTAATACGGAAAAACAATAAAGTGAATACATCTGCACCATGGAGAACAGCACTGGACAGCTGTTGAGAACTGTTGAGCTGTTCCTCTTAGTCTGGAACGCACACCAATGATCCCACCGGGAATTTAACCCACAACCTTCAGGTTATGAAACTGACCCGTTTACCAATGACCAATCGGTCACTGGGTTGGAATGTAATAGTCTGTGAATCCTTAATTCTGTCAATTCTCGGTATAGCACCAACGGTTGACACTCAAAATGGTAGATTCCACAGGTCACTTGTTTGTTCAGGCCAATTGCTTGCTTGTTTTTTCCCTATCATATATTGTATCAAGTTGATCACACATTGTAATCTGAATAATTTTAGTTTCCAAAGGAAACTTTAGTTAATTTTCACTTTGAAATGCATGATTTAAAAATAAAAAATTATTAGGCAGTGAAAAAGCCTTACCCAATATGTCTATTTAAAAAACATATCATGGTCAGTGGGTCAATAGTTTCAGGCCAAAATGATTCGATGCAGTTAGATGGCCAAAATTTGTAGTGCTTTATCTCATGATTCTTTCGATGAGAAGATATAAATATGATTTGCTGTTTAGCATTCCACATATCGTTTAAAGAGGGAATGTTTGGTTGGTAAGGAAACATACTGGTACCTATAGTCTGTAAGGGGAAAAGGGGTAGAAAAAACACTTTAAGAAGAGTTATGGAAGAAGCATTATGCTGACAAGTCAGATGCAAAGGCAGTCTGCTTACCAAGTCTTAGCCCATGACCCGTTTAAAGGGATTTAAGAACACTATTTTGTGTGGTTGTAGAAAGATAGCAGCGGCTTCATAAGGTGTGCAATTAATGAACACTTCGCTGTCACTGGCTAATTTATGTTAAATAATCATCAACAAATAGATGTGGCCTTTTCCCAAAGTCCATCCATTTTACGGTGCTTATTTACGGCATTGATGTAGATGATTTAACCCGTAGTTTCTAGTCATGCAAAATAGTTTGTGAAACGGCAACTGTGTAAGAAAAAGTTCGTAGTCAATCAACTGTAGGGCTTCAGCCCGACCATCTAATCTGTTTAGTCCAGCTCATTAAATAAACATGCATTACTGTTTGTGTGGAGAATGTACGATCAAAGTTCAAACGGTGGAATTGGTTCTGTTTTACAACTACATTGCACACATAGTTTTGGTAAAAATCAAATCATGTTTGGATCAAATTGCAACGCTACGCATCGTCATCGAACAGAGAATAAAAATCGCAGTCAAATATTTCCTTACCTCAAATTCATAGACTTTGAAAAGGCCTCCAGTAGTGCTCACTGTAAAGTAATTCGTAAACTACCTCAACACATGAAGTACAGTATTAAAAACCCTTATGAATCTCGCCCAACAGCTGTATGACAATGCCACATACCAACTGATCCATAACGGAAATCTCAACTAAGCCTTTGAAATGAAGACAGGAGTAAGATAAGGTTTCCTACTATCACCGATCATATTCCTGACTGCAGTGCACTAGACCATGGAAAAGGCCGTTGGGGGCAGGATGACAGGTGTATGCTGAACTCATTAGAAAACTCTAGAATGTCTGGGCTTTGCAGATGACTTATGTTTAATGTCACACAAACTCGAGGACCTAAATTGTTATGTACTAGTTTTCCCCGTCGCCAAATTGTTATGTACTCGTCGCTAAATTATTATTATGGACTGGTCGAGAAACTAATAGTCCTGACGCGAGAAGGCGGAAATCAGAAGACCACTAAGTTTGCGATGATACTTCTATTGTCCAAACACAAGGAGACGAAAATAAATGGTCTCACACCAAAGTGGTAAGTAAATAAAGTAGTTACACAAATTGTGTATGCGAAATATATATGAATGTTCCAGACAAAGCGTGGGAATATATCATTAGACAGTCTTAACATGAATGGCTAATTATAATGGAGTGTCGATCCAAATATACATAGCGAATATAGCAGACATGTCAACAACCATATATGGATATATGTCACCAAGCAACGAACTGTCAACAAACACTCATATTATATATAATATAATATAAGGAGAATATACATTATTAAAGGAGACAAGTTCACACAAGTGAAATGGTCACAGACTAACCGAGCAAACAGAAAGAGAGACCAACATGCACACACACATAAATATATATATGTGGATACATATCATAAATGCTAAAGCAAACAAATTGGCAGCAGGAGCAGCGTTGACAGGACATCAAATGAACCTAGATAAGACAAAGGTGATGAAAATAGTTAGCCAACAAAAAACAACAGTCACCGTCGACGGTAGAAATTTAATGGCAATCAGCTCTCTCACTTAACTAGGCAGCATTGTTTCAACTACAGTCAGTGGGGATGGGGATGTCAAAGACAATCAGGATCGAAAAAGCCAGACAGACCTTCGTTTCTCTGAAATCAGAGTTGAGATCTCCTGTATTCAGCATGAGCAAAAAGATTCCGATTTTCAAGACTAATGTCAAGTGAATGCTTCTATATGGTTGAGGATCGGCATGTCACAAAAGCATTTCCAACAACATTTATCAACGGCCACCTTCGCTCCTTACTGAAGATAAGACGGTGAGAAAGGTTTAGTAACACGGGACTTTTGGAACAAACCATCCAACAAGTATGTGGAGGAAAATGGAGATGGATTAGACACACACTGAGGGGACCACTGAGTGACACCGCGCGCCAGCCAGGAATCCTGGTGGCATCCGAATGGAAAACAGTGAGCTGGGTGTCCAGGGGTGAAATGGAGGGGGTTGTGTGAGGACAGATTATGAATAATCGTGAAGCTAGCTAAAAACAAATTCCGAAGACAAGATGAAATGGAGATATGTTGTTGAAGCCCTATGTTCCACTTGGGACCCAAGGGAAAAATAATAATAAGGTAGAATATGTTAAGACAGTAGTCATTACCTTTAGTACAAGTGATTCAAAGCAATCTTTCTGTTCATCTGTTTCAAAATAGTAACAATGATTACAATCCACAATAACGATTTCCTTGGGATTGGATTGAAGAAAGTCCAGAATACTTTGAAGTTCTTTTGATAGTAGATTGGCGTATTGTCCATGTACTAAGTAAAATTCATAGTCAATACTATCACACTGTTTTAACCTTCTTCTTTTGGAGCACACACGAAAATCAAAATATCGAATACCAGATTTTAACTGGTCGGACAAACTTAATGACTGTGTCACACTCCATGGGTATAAGATTCGACTTAACAGTTTGCGAGGAATATATTTAGCTAGATGATAGATAGGTCCCTCTGGTGAAGGTCGGCTACTTTGAGTAATGGAATATGTGAATGAATCATGGCTACCTAAAGATTTGGGATTAAAAAAGCAGTTTATTTACTACTACTATAACAAAAACAAGTAGTTACTAAAATGAATCATGAAGTTAAAAAAGATATACATAAAAACAAGTGCGTCGGTGATTTAGTGTTAGCATATTTGTTGCCAGAAAAACACATGATTCAGATACGACTCCTAGCAGACGTACTCTCAAACATCACCTAGTTCCCTGCTGCAGTTGGTAGCAAGCCCGGAAGAGGTGAGATTGGGTGTGAGGCCAGTAACCCTAACCTATAAAACACCATCTCTACTGAAAATTCAAGACTTGACGCTTGAAGCCCTAATTTCACTTAGAACGCAAAGAAATGAAAAGAATAGATACATAAAAATAAGCGAAACAATAAAATTGTACGGACGAAATAACAGTTATCTTCATAATTGTGAACGCTGAACATTCCTCTACAACTAATTTACCCACAACCTTGATAGAATACCTTGTGTTTTAAATTAGCATTATTATTAAAAATACAAACTTGGTATACTACGGCTACCAAGAGATAGATCACATAAAAATAACAAAACAACAAAATGTGAGGGTAATAGAACTGGAGTAAATGAAGGGCATTCAAAAAGCAAGTAAGCATACTTGTCAAGATCATTCATCATTCATTACTTCATGCTACCTTCAGAAAGGGAAGAGAGAAAAAGACTATAGCATGTTCGCCGTTTATTGAGACTAGTGGCCATATTTCATAGCGTCTCGATTCACCGAATCAAATTATCCCTCGGATGCCACCAAGGGAATCGTGATATACTAACGGATACTAACCCAACACATATACCCTTCATCCCACGCAACACGTCATAAGCTGACCAACTCTCCGCACTTTCCATTTAGTCCTAGAACTAGCAAATAGCGAGGGGTATGTAAGCATTTGGGATGGGATTCATAGCATAGGGTTTTCAGCTCCTCCAGGTAAGCCTGCATCCCCACCCTTACGGATGTATACACCATATATTTACATTCTATCTTTCACTTTTGTGAAGAACACCGCCGCGCGAAGGCAGTGAATAGAGCCTACTTGGCAAAGACTATGAATGTATGGTCACATGAGATCATTTTAAAAATAAGACCGAAATCTACACACCCTCGTCCGTACCAGGTCGTCTATGGTTCTAATACAAATAAAAAACCAGCCCGTTATTGATGGTTTCATCACCTCTGCAGTAAGAGTAAAACATTGAGTAACTGTGCTCGAACTTAAGGAAATTTTCTTTTCTACGCATGTGAAACGGTGATTATTACATTTAATGAGTTCTCCTCACAATTTGATCTATGATATATTGCCTTTCCATAATACAGTGTGAGGCTGTAGCTAAAAACTGCTGTTTGTAATAATGTATATTTGTCTGTGTTGGTGAATCAGAATGAAAAATTGAAATGTTTCTTATATGAATTAGAACAGATAAGAGTATTGGGAATTTCAGTGTACTTCAGTACCAAACGTAAATTCTAAGGGTTAGAATTTCAATAGCATTATATCCAAAGATTAAGATCAGATTCACAGATCATTGATCTATGCGATCGACTCCCAACCTATGGGTCACGGAATTCGAAACGGTCTCCACCTACCGAGGTTTTCGCAGCCAGGCAGTACCACTAGCCCTTACAACAGGTGTGTTTCATTAATAGTTTCATTGAATTGTAATGAGTCTGAGAGGGATAAATAATTACTGTGAGATCGACATGCTTACTACAGTACACCGTAGATATGTGGGATCAAGTTCGTAAAGTAAATTGAGAGTTTCTACAGAGGCGGGTCAAAAACTGCGATTGTCTTTTACAACTATGTTCAGAAAATTACCATTTCGGAAACTCACTAGTTTCCATTCGAATTTTTTTCGCCCGTACACTTTTTCTTTAATTTTGTATGCCTTTCCAATGTATGGCAGACTCAACTCATGAATTCTTGGCCAAAGTTCCACGCTGACAAAGTGATGAACCATGAAGCTGCTATCGGATTGGTTAGGTGCTCCAAGACTATCGGTGAGATTATTAAATGAAATGTTGAGGACTCTTGCTGCAAATACTAATCTGTCACCGAAACTAAAGTATCATAATTGTTGTAATAAATTTCGACTAAAAGTGGTGGGAACGGCCACTCCTGAATGTCATATCTGAAGCAGTTGGCATCGACATTTGGAGAACTTACGTTGAACTCTCAGGCAAGTTAAGTATTCATTTAGAATACATTTTTAATGAAATAATACCAAATTGAAGATATATAAAAATTCACAGATACCCTAGATATCCTTAAAACACACAAAATTACTTTCAAGGTGCATCGTAAGTTATATTGTCAAGAGTGATGAGGAAGCATAAACATCGATGGTCAACTAACCTGGAATAGATATCAAATTAAGGGGTTTTTGCGATATATGCGGGGGCAATTCAGACATCCACGAGGAAGGATAAGTCATTGTTTGCCTGCATTTAAGACAAAAGTACAACATAGCTTACAAGTGTCATTTTCAAGAATGTAACTTGAGATGTTATATATACTGGCCACACACATATTAATGGTATTGTTGATGTTCATAGTCAAGAGAGCTAAGGCACTAGACTTGAAGTAGACAATACTTAGTATCCAAAAGGAGGCTTAAATTCTAGCCCTCGGCTGAAACTTGAAAATAGTACACAAGTTCCAATATATGCTAAAACAATGAATATTAGGACAAATTAGTGATTTAAAGGACTAAGTACCATACCATCAACGAACAAATGAGTTCCATAAAAACGCCATTCTTCAGCATGAGGCAATTAACCAACTTGACGACGCAAAAATTACCTCACGCTGAAGAAGGATGATTAAGTCGCTGTATATCAGCTGAGACTTTGTAAAGTTTCGTTTAATAGTACTTTGAAAAAGCCACTAGCACTAAGTGGCGAAACGTCACTAAAAAAATATCGTTTTGTCTTTCATTCATTGGGAAATAGAAATGCTTTTATAATAGGGAATATCATATACCCGATACTCAACTTTTTAAACTATCAGAAGTGAACTTGGTTTGGACCTATAGAAGTTAAGGGGTTAACAAACAATATGGAGTGTTGATATTCCCTGATAAATGTGTGGAAATTGTAGTGATTAATCGACAGGGTGTCCATAAAATTTTAACTACTCCACCTGGTGAGTTCAAATTTACGAAACCCACTAACAGAAAGAAGTATGACAGAGCGAACTGAACAAAAATTAACGGATATTCTCCGGGAACTGAAGACTAAATCATCCGCTGACGCCAAAATGTTTGCTCCAAACATGACGAAAGTACAAAAGAAATGAGCACCTCTTCATCCTATTCTATTGAAAACATCAGCCGTTCGAATCAAAACATGCCCTCGCTACATGTGATTTTATCAATTACAAACATCCTATTAACTGAAACAATATGCTACATATGTGAACATATTCCAAGGGATTAAGCATCATCATTTTAAAAAGCTTTGATTGAGGTACATCTCATATCAAATTCTACAACAATGATAAAGCATTTAGACAAAATGATAGCGTTGTCATGCACTAACTATCAGCTCCTTTGCTTGCACAATTCAGGCAGAAACTGAAAAACATATTTAATGAGAACGACCAACAACTCTGGGTTTCACAAGACACATGGACGGTACTTTTATTATCTCCAATGATTAGGGGAATCCGGAATACATTCTAGATTTTTCCAACAACTGCCACCGTGCAGTCTAATTCATATCACAAGAGTGTGATTCAAAGGTTCCTTCCTGTTTTTAACCTACGAGAACATTAAACAAGATAAATCCACATAGCACTGATATGGAATGGACAACTTACGAACTCCTTCAGTTGGTGCCTCTTTATCATAAGACGGGATCTAATCCACTGAATTAGTCACAAATTCCACGATATTTGCAGCCCATACACTATTTGAGAGGAGCTGAACTTTGGCTTACTCTGCAAAATCAATGATTCGAATAAATGTGAAGGACAAACTGCCACTGATGGCCTTATCAATGTGTATCTATCACTTCACCTGCTCCTATGGAGCTGGGTATGCCGAGTATACTCAGCATATGCTATTAAAACGAATTGTCGAACAGGTATCCTTATAGTTTTACAGAGAAGATGACAGATCCCGGAACAGCTGTATTCTAGAACACCTGGTCGATTGTGAACACCGAGCGAACTATTAAACCAACTTTAGCGTCGTCCACATAGTACTTTTAAGTCTTGGCGAAGAAGTATAAATAAAATTTCTTCAAACTGCAGAAGCTATGGCAATACATATGCCAAACGCAGAATCTTGCACACAGACGATGGTCCACTCATGGGACCTAAAACTGATCTAATTTTCTGATCATGTGATGAGTTATTTTTCTAAAAGAAACCTTAGTATTGTTATTTTTTGTCCTTTGTCTATCGCTACAAGCTTACTCCATATGACATTCAATTGCAACGCAAAGGATTAACAAAAAGACTGTATAGCTTGGGAATAATATCTCTGACAAGTTTAACTCCCCGCAAAACGCCTCCTTTTACATGACTTGGTGGGGATATTTCAGCTAAAATGAGAATCTGACAATAAAATGTCACGTAGCCAAGTCAAACATTTACCTTAGTTTAAATAATTTGTAAAGGCTTGTTGTATGTCCAAATGCGCATTAGCATACACTAATGTGAATATATATTCACACATATATGTATATGTACATGTTATATGTATCACAACTTGCAGTCAATTGAGAGACATTAATCGGAAGATTTCAGAAAAACGGCCACTTTAAAAGAAAAACTTTTATGTGAGAGCCATGAAATATTTCAGGAATTATGAGGGACACTTAACATTTTTCACGTACCTAAATACTTCACAGTGATAGCATGAACATTCCTAGAGAGATTATGCTTTACGTGGAGCTCAAGAGTATTTTATTCCTACTAAACTCGCCTTGAGGTGCGTAAATGCAACCCAAGGTCATGTTACACATTCATATCTGACACATTTGATTTTAATATTTCAGGTTTCAGACTAAGATTTTAGATTTATTGGTTAGGGATAGAAGACTTGAAGCTTATGTTAATCCTTTTCCGGTAAATTTCTGTGGTTGTCCAAACCCTCCTTGAATGAATCAGTTGAGGTTACAGATACCGCTTCTTTTGAGAGTCGGTTCCAAGAGTGTATGACCCGGTGTGAGAACCAGTACTCAGCTGCAATATGATTTCCTCCTGGCTTTTGAACTCTCCTGCCATGTCCCCTAAGGTGTCCCAACCTTGTGGTAAGGAAAAGAGAGAATAGGTCAGGTCCGTAATCATTGTGTAAAATTTTGAACATTGTGATTATATCTCCTCTGTCTACGGTATGACGGAGAAGGGATTTAAACTGTCTAGTCTTCCCTCTTATGATAGGTTATTCATGCCAAGAATCATTCGTGTTGCCTTCGTTTTTCACCCTTTCTAGAATATGTGAGTCCCCTATATGACAAGGACTGGCTGCCTGTATCCAGTTTTCCAATCTTCACCTCACCAGAGATGCATATAAGGAGGTAAATATATCTGGTGATTCCACAAATAGCCCATAAGGATAAGAAACCGCGTCCAGCCACCACGCAACAGTGTGCGTGACTATAACACCTAAATCTGAATGAGTTTGAACTGATGAGAGTGTTATTCCCTCTAGTTTGTAGGGGCTGATGATTGCTTGTCCGATGCGCACGGTTGTACATTTCTCTAGATTGATAGGGAGCATCCATCCTCTGGACCACTCCAACAATTTGTTGAGGCCTTTTTACAAAGTGAACGTATCACTGTCACCCTTCAGCTCTCTCCAGATTCCTAAGTTGTCTGAGTGTAGGACTAAAAAGGAATCGGGGAGTTAAGATAACTTACTTATGTACAAAATAAATAGGAGAGGTTCGAGTATCGTGCCTTGTGGCATCCCGCGATGCATTGCTGCCCAGGAAGAGAGTTCCGAGTCGATCCTAACCCTCTGCCTCCTATCTGTGAAGCCAGTTTAGTAACCTGCCTTTCTACCAACACCTTCCAACTTCATGAGTAGTCTTTTGCGGGGAATTTTATCGAAGGCTTTGCTGAAGTCTATGAAGACGATGACGGTGGGGCTTCTGTTGTCCCTTGATCTGACCCAGCTTCTATTTGCGGTGAGGAGGTTTGATAAACTTGAGAGGTGTTTTCGGAAGCCATGCTTTGCTCTAGACAACATTTTGTTCCTTTCAAAATACACTGTCAATGTAGTTGAAGATTGAACGATCAATTCATGGTTTTTTGCTCAAATCCAACTTCCCTAATTTTCGCGGAGACATCGATACACCAGTCATCGTCTCATTGGTCGCTGTTCAGAAAGAAGTCAGGCCAAAACTGTCAGAAGTAATATTGTGATTTATTATTGTAATATTTGTTCATAGACCTTAGTTAAAACTTAATTTTACATGTTGGTGTTACAATAAAGAATTCTCAAGTGGCCAATCGGTGTTTTGGTTTTTTCGTCCGTTATTACTAAGCGTTTCTGAAAAACTTCAAGGAACAGCGTGAGACCGAGCGTAGCAAGAGCTGGGCATTAACGGTTTACGAGACGTGGCTGACAGTTTATGACGGTAGAAAGAGATCTGGCGGATTCAGACAGTCGGTAAAAGTTTGGACAGTCACCCTTCATCTCTCCTGGTGCCGGTCAAGTCCTCTTTGAACAAGCAATATCTGGAACATTTTTGGAATTGGGTCAAGCTCAACAATGCCTGGGTCAAAGAAGAGACAGAGCGTCTTGGATGCAAACAGGAAAGTAAGTCATGTTGACTTGTCTGTAAATTGTAACGATATGTCTGATGTTAAGCATGACATGGTTGATGTTACTGTTTCGCCGTTCAGGGATAATAGGAACATCAAACTCCCTAAATTTGAACCGCGGTGTTTCGATGGAAACCCGGCTGATTATTTACAATTTGTAAAGGAGTTTGAGATCATGCTGAGTAGTTTTTTATTAAGTGATGAATTGAAATTGATGTATTTGATGAGGTATTGCACTGGAGATGCTTCAAGAGCTATACAGTGTTGTAAGTTTATGAAGCCAAAAGAGGGCTACTACGAGGCTATGAGCATACTACGTCAAAGGTTTGGAAGACCTTCAATGATTGTAAGGAACGTATACGAAGCTGTCAAAGGTAACGGCAGTAAACTTCAAGATGACTCCAAGGCACTTACTGAGTTTTTGGATAATTTGCTGATTTACAAGAATGCATTGATTTCGACGAATTGCATGAGTGACTTCAACTCGAGTTTTATACTAGAAGTAATAGCGAGACGCCTACCTACTCGACTGCAAAGGAAGTGGGTGAAGATAAGCTCCCGTATGGAGGATGAGGGTATCGAGCCAAAGTTTGATGATATCCTGAAACTAGTAAAAGATAGTGTCAATCAATCGATGAGCAAGTTTGCCAGTATATTGAATCTCACCCCTAGAATAGAGCAGTCTGAGAGCAAAACGCAATCATTGATGACGAATAGGCCTCAGAGAGGTGGATATCGAGAAGGCTCCATGATGTCTAGTAATGCATATAGATCTAGTGAGTGTAACAGGTTTCGTAGTACATCCTCAACAGATAAGTTACAAGATGCAAGACAAACACGGTTGTGTTTTACACGTTTGCAAGAGGTGCATACAAAGGTGAACTGTGAACCAGTGAGCAAGTTCAGTGATAAGCTAAATGTAAACTCCAGGCCTGACTCCGAATTGTGTGACGATAACGGTGTGGTCAAGAAGTCTGTAGTTGCAACTGGTAAGCCATTGTTGAATAGAGTGTCGCAGAATAGAGATACAGTCTCAGACTGCAGTTCTGACTCCACAAGTTTACAAGGTATTACTAGTCATAGTGAAGATATAAATATTTAAGGATTTGTGAGGAGGAACCGAAATTGTCTACTTCTGTTATTAAAGAGTTTGAAAATGATGAACTTGACGGTAAATTGAATATTTGTGATGATGATCATGATAGTGCAGATTTGTCTTTGGTTGATCATGATGAAATGAGGGAATGCCTACTACTGCTAAGGTGAACAAGGTTCTGTACAACTTGAAGGTGAAGTAGAATTAAATGCAGTTGCAGTTGCAGAAGGCATGCGTAATTGTGAGACCGTCAGTGTGATTGATCAGCATGTAGCCCACCTATCATCAGATGCTAGTGCTAAACCTGAGCTGATAGTAAAAGACAGCAGTGGTGGTGGTCTTGCAGGTAGACAACTTCTGAAAGTCGAGCAACAACAGCTTTGATCCACCGCTAAGTTCATCAACTGGTATCAATCAGTCGTCGTTGGTGTTGTCATCCACAATGAAAAGACGCCCATCAACTCAAGTATCTTGTGCAATGGCTATGATAGTATTGGTGCATTTGAAAAGACGAAAGATATTGGTCAGTTTAGTGAGGATAAGCCAAGTGTAAACGAGAGAGTAATTGTTAAATTGACTTGCATGAATAAAGGCATTTCTAGTTTCAAGTTACTATTTGAATGCTATTATCTTTGGTGTAAATTACTCTGTTTCTACGCTTGGTTGACCAGATACGTCGTGTGTTTGTTCGTCATCTATATTCTACGATACAATGACATGAGCGTGTTACCGTTCAGATTTGAGGATATAGCTGATAGAAGGAAGTCAGCAAATGAACTCTGCGACGATTTTCCAACCTAGGCGTCAACCTGAGAAGGGTTGTAGGCGTACTGCTGTAAGTCCTACAATTCTTCAAAGGGTAGCGCATCAATGAGCAGTCCAATGTGCTTGGTGTGTGATTTTGTACATATGTTCATATTGTATATACTGAATTGATATCATCTTTCAGTTGTCTGTTTGTAATTTTGTTTGTGTCCGGACGACTTCCACTTGGATCATCAACCTGAGAATGAATGTAGGCGTACTGCTGTAAGTCCTACAGTTCTTCAAGGGTAGTTCGTCAAGCCGGAATCCACAACATTTGATGTGTTGATTGTACATATGTTTGTGTTAAATAATTGTGTGAGTTCCAATTATTGAAATTGTTGGTTAATGTTGTTTGTGTCCGGACATTCCACAACTTACAATCGTCAACCTGTGAAGGGTTGTAGGAGTACTGGTGTAAGTCCTGCGATTCTTCAAAGGAATTACATCAATACACGATCTGCGAGTTATGTGTACTCTGTGTATATATGTGTGGTGTGTCATATCAATTGGTGTTTTTGGATTCATTGTGTTTACTCGTTGTTTTCGTACCTTGTTGTTATTGCATAATTTTGTTAAAATTTTCGTCGTGATTACTTCTGAAGTTGTGTCCACTCTTCTACATCCGTGAATGAATTGATTGATGTTAAAGGTAGCAGATGGGTCATATACGCCGGGGAGGCTAGGCTATTGCTGAGAATTACATGCACACGGAGATAATTGTTAGCTGTGGCCCCAGACGCCGGGGAGCGAGAGTGTAGACGATTGAGGCTTGCATACGTCACCGTTACTAGAATTGAGACAGAATGAGTGACAAGCGATTTCAGTGGCAATTGATAGTGAATAGATAAGAGGATGTGCGGAGAGTATCATGAGGTGGTGCTATGGTCACGTTGCATTCTGCAAGAGTCATTCTACCGAGTGGCGATTGTGTTGCAAGATGTCAAGAGGATGCCTTTAACTGGAGGCGTAGGTCGTTGTCGATGAGTGTGATTGTGCTGTGGGTATGCTTGTGGTGTGTTGGCTTTTCTGTTTGTTTTCCATTTCAGCTCTGTCCGTGTGACCCAGGTTCTCGCAATGGCATCCAAGTCAACGTGTATTGGTCGTGATGGAAAAAAGGGATGGATCCGTTTTTTGGCGGGGAGTGTCAATGTAGTTGAAGATTGAACGATCAATTCATGGTTGTTTACTCAAACCCAACTCTAGATTTTTCGCAGGGGGCATCAATCCAGCGGTAATCGTTTCATAGTTCACTGTTCGTTGAAAGGCAAAGAAAAACCATCAGAACTATTATTGTGATTTATTGTTATTACGTTTATTCTTGGGCTTTGTGTGCAATAACCTAATGGTTGGCTATGTATTGGTGCAAGAATAAACGGTCCTTAAGTCGCCAATCAGTGTTCTGGTTTTTCGCGTTGGTTGTTACAAATTTTTTCTGAAACTGTTCCAAGGACAGCGTGAGGTTCAGCGTAGTAAGACCTGGACATTGACAGTTTCTGAGAGTTGGATGACAGCCTTATAAAACCGTTCAAAAGCTATATTTCACGTACAAACTACTACTACTACTACACGATGGATGACTCTAAATCTTGACCCACTTTGGACGGGACGACTTATTATAAGCCTGAAGTTCTCCTTAAGGATCCTACACAAAATATCATTCTCAGGAGACAAGGAGATACATTTTTCACCGGAAGGCTCTTACGATATGCCTAACCAAATCTGATGAGTGACAATAAAAGTCTTTAAATCAACACTCCATGAAAACTTCGCAGTCATGTATTCTTATATATGGAGCGGCATCAGTGTCCAGCTCTTACTACGCTGGACCTCACGCTGTCCTTGGAACAGTTTCAGAAAAAATTTGTAACAACCAACGCGAAAAACCAGAACACTGATTGGCGACTTAAGAACCGTTTATTCTTGCACCAATACATAGCCAACCATTAGGTTATTGCACACAAAGCCCAAGAATAAACGTAATAACAATAAATCACAATAATAGTTCTGATGGTTTTTCTTTGCCTTTCAACGAACAGTAAACTATGAAACGATTACCGCTGGATTGATGCCCCCTGCGAAAAATCTAGAGTTGGGTTTGAGTAAACAACCATGAATTGATCGTTCAATCTGCAACGGCATTTACAAGCGGCCTGCCCTAGAAGTCAGAACCTGCACATTGGTTATAAGTTTCAAACGCTGTCTGTACAGACTGTTTCGTTCTACTGATTACACTAACTAACCATTTTTTTCCAGAACGTATCAATTTTGATATTTTTACAGTACCCAAAAAACACGTGAGTTTCCCAAATTACTCTATAAACGATAAAAAACTTGTCGCATAGATCTATAAAAAGACTAAGTAGAAACAAACATATGGGTTTGTGAGACGGAAATGTACAACGAGTGTAGACATACATATATATGTGTATATAAACAAATATCAGGGTTTTATCCGTGTCCAAATACTTTCTGTTTCCTCTATGGTGCTTTGCTGCTCGCCCCTTCTCTTACATTTGCCTTGAAGGGGTAGTCGCATAAATCTACAGTAAGGCTGAAGTTGAACAGGACTTGAAGCCGCACTGTCTTACTTTCAATTTCCTACGAGTGTTAGTGATATTTATTTGAGCTCTGATTATCTGTCCACTTCACTTTTGGTATTACGTAACTTTTAGGATATGATCTAATTTATTTATTGAATTGTCTACATATACACATATTACCACCTTCGTTATTCTTATGGCCATCTGCATGAACCTGATTATCATCATTTTGCTATCATTATGATCGCAGTTATTACTGACGTTCAAAACACTTACCACATTATTATTATCATCATTATTTGATCGACAAACTCGCCGTCACTGGTTAAAATTTTTATGTATAAATCTATGTAAATAAGAGTAAAGCCTGTAAACGATATGATTGAAAACAATATTTTTTGCTCACATGTCTTGTTCTTATATCAATAATGGTTGTCAGTGTAGTTGAAGAATTAACGATCAATTCATGGTTGTTTACTGAAAACCAACTCCATATTTTGGCGGGAGTCACCGATACTGCAGTCATCGTTCCATCGTGTACTGTTCGTTAGAAGACGGAGAAATACTATCAGAATTATTATTGTGTTTTATTGTTATGGTATTTATTCTTAGACTTTGTGTATAACAACCTTATTGTTGGTTCCATATTTGTGCGAGAATGAAGATTCTCGAGTCACCAGCCTGTGTTCTGTTTTTTCGCATTGGTTATCGCGCGCTGTTGCTGAAGGTCTTCTAAGGACAGTGCGAAGTCCAGTGTACTTAGACCTCGACGTTGACAGTGGTAATATTCAAAAGTTGCTACTACCACTTCTGTGTAACACATGTAGTGGGGATGTTCGGTGGTGGAATGACGACAAGGAGGAGCACATGGTCGAATTCACTCCTCGTCATTTGTAGTCTGTCAGGAGCAAGTCGTCGCACTTTGGATGTCACGGGATATGATGTAGTGCACAACATTCCTGGATATGCGTGGTAGACCTTTAGAGGAGCAGTTAATCTCCCGGTACTTGTCGACGCTCGGTAGAAAAGTCGGACCAACTATTGCCTTCTTCTTAACCAGTGACCTAGGCAGGTGATGCCTTTGAAATGCAGCCTAGTGGTACAACCTATTAGTCGTTTCCGGTGGACCTCTATGAGTAGATCATGATGATTAAGTAGGCCTATGCCTATGATAGGCATTGTGACGTCAGAAAAGAAGAAAATTCGCTGAATAGGTTTGCATGAACCTGCGTTCAAGTAGGCGTATTTCTTACCAAAGGTCGCAATAGGTTTTCCGTTCTCAGTCGGTAAGTTGGAGGTAGGTTCTTTCTGTTGATCCGCCTCTGTAGCAGGTGGACGCCAACTTCAGCACCTGTGTCAACCAAGTACTGGGTTTTGTTGGCTACATCGTGGACGTAAAGTAGGTGGTGAATGCTGCTGGTGGGGGTTGTCGCTAGGGCACGCCAGTGGGGTAGTTCCCCTTAGTCTTACAGTCTTTGCCAAATGACAGGGTTTTCGGAAACATTTTTCTTCCTGGTCATAAGTTTTGTGATACCAAGACCAATCAGGGTTTTTAGGTGGAGGTGGTTTTGAATTTCACCGGCCACATGAGTTTCGCCGTTGAAGTGAATTTAATCGACGGTAGGGAAAATACGGGGGCGTTTGGGCCTAAGTAGTCGCTTAACAGAGTTGCATAACTCTGTGATTTCAGTGCCACTAATCGAAGAGTATTTTATGAACATCTAGAGAGAGAACATCTCCGTGACTAGCCGTTGTGACATCTCTAGAATTTTATCAGCCGGAGTGGTAAATCGTTTATAATAACACACTGGAGTGTCACAAGCACAGCCTATACTGGCCGTGGCAACTTGGATAGGAACAACTTTCTGAAGTCCCTAAATGAATTGATGTTGGGCAATAACTTCCAGTATCCGTGTTAGCATGCGGACTGCCGATTGATCGCCTTACTCCACATTTCGAAACTATGACATACATAAATGGCAGCAGCGGAATGAATGTTTCTAGAGGTGTGTCACCATATTATGAGTTCTAGATAGCAGTCGGAGTTTCTGAAGAGAACTGCAAAATTATTTAAACTCTGTGACGTAACACGATTGAGAGGATTGAGTGAAGTTCAGTCAAAACTGAAATAGGATCAAGCCAAGGCCAGTGCCATGAGGAGTAGAAGTGAGATATAGTGAAAGAAGAAATGAATAGATTAAAACATTAGTCATCAAATGCCTAGATAAATCTGATCCATTGTAAGTCTCGACCAGTCCTCGGGGACTGTAGTGCCAGTGCAAATTTCCCACATTTTTGACTTATTCAAACCCTTCAGCTTCCTGTCGCCCTCATTAGTTTTCGTCTACCCATTCTGTTGGCTCCTCCTCCGTCTTTTTAGTGCCACATCTCAGGAAGTGTTTGCGACTTATTTGGGGGACTGCTTGAGCAGAAGAAATATTAAAGTCCAAGCAGTTTCATTTCTCTGGTAGAAACTGTACATCTCTTCCGAAAGCAAATAAACTAATTCAGCCCCTTTTTACCGAACTTGGAGGGATAAATCTTCTGGGCAGCAGTCTACGGAAAATCTAGTCTCATTCCAAAACGCCGAGAAGTCAGTGACAAAAAAAACCAAGTTTTATATGCATTATTTATTGAATGAAAGCTATGTTTGGAGTAGGAACAGTCATTTGAAACTCTGGAAACGCGTAAAGTTTAGTCCTGCTGACTCGTGCTGTAGAATTGATGCGATCAGTGATCGGCGTAACAGTGCTTACCTATGTATTGCTATGTATACAAACGGTGCGAATGGTCCACCGAAGGAGAGGGCACTCGAGTGGTTGCGCCACAGGATGATCCTGCATGCCGTTCTCGTCTCGCAAGAGGCAAGGATGCTTGTGTTTGGTTCTCCTGAAAACCAATACCCAGTCATTGGGTGTATATTGTTGTGAATAAACTGGTTGATCCTGCCAGTTTTCATATACTTGTCTCAGAGATTAAGCCATGCGTGTCTAAGTACATACCTTAAAACGGTGAAACCGCGAATGGCTCATAAAATCAGCTATGGTTCCTTAGATCATATTTGCCACATGGATAACTGTAGTAATTCTAGAGCTAATACATGCAATTATGCCCTGACCCGCAAGGGAACGGGTGCATTTATTAGAACAGAACCAACTGAAAGGCAGTTTCGACTCTCTCTGTTGAATTCTGTGATGACTCTGGATAACCTTAATGATCGCAGTCGGCCTTGTGTCGGCGACGGATCTTTCAAATGTCTGCCCTATCAATTTGTTGGTAGGTGATCTGCCTACCATGATAATAACGGGTAACGGGGAATCAGGGTTCGATTCCGGGGAGGGAGCCTGAGAAATGGCTACCATATCCAGGGACGGCAGCAGGCACGAAAATTACCCACTCCCGGCACGGGGAGGTAGTGACAGAAAATGCGAATAAGGGACTCAGTTGAGGCTCCGTAATTCGAATGAGTACAATTTAAATCCTTTAACGAGGACCAATTGGAGGGCCAGTCTGGTGCCAGCAGCCGCGGTAACTCCAGCTCCAAAAGCGTATATTAAAGTCGCTGCAGTTAAAAAGCTCGTAGTTGAACCTGGGTTGTGCGGTCGCGTGCCGTTGCTTGTTCGCGGTTTTGGTTACGATCAGAACTTGTGTTCGGCTTGGTGTAGTGGCTGTGAAACCTTTCAGTCGTATCTGTGTAAACGGGTGGTGACGGAGATGGGTGAGTTTTCCTTGCCCGCTATCTGTTGGCATGCTTCCGGATGCCTTTAACCTCTTATTATTACTATTATAATTACCGATATACATATATATTATTCTTAAAACTTAATCAGCTGACTGTTTTTACGCTTTCCTATTTCCGTTTCTGTCTCTTAGTCTGAATAGATTCACTAATTATATCTATTATTATTATTACTATCTGTTTTCGCTTGTCGACGATACCGAAGGACTAACTGGCGAAAGGATCATCTCCAATTAATCCCAGCACTACTCCCTTTGGAGTCAACCAAAGCTACGACAGTCGAGTGGCGGGACAGGCTACGCAGAAGTTTACCGAAGATCAGGAAGCGATACCTTACAATCAAGAAGCGAGCACAAAGAAATCAAATTGGTTTATACTAGCTCGTAAAAACGATATTGGATATATTGGATGCCAGAAATTTCACCCATGTCGCCACAGTCCTACAGTGAAGCTGTGCAAAGTCAGCCAAATTGATGTGGCTCCACCCCTGTTAACACGACTAGGTTAACAGATCCGAGTGGGAAAATTGCACTAAGTGAGAACTGCATAACACCCATCCCCATGGTAGACCATGAAACAAATAGGAAGGCCAAAAAGAAACGTTCACGACGTCGCAAGACGACAAGGACGCTCCCCAAGAAGGCAGACGACTGCAAGGTCTGCGCTTCTGTTGTCGAACAAGCAGACTCTGCTTTCGAATGTAACTTTTGCAAGCGATGGGTGCACTGCAGATGCGACAATGGGGTACCGAAAGCATATTATGACTTTATGCGTAGAAACCCATGCCAATGGTTCTGGTACATATGCCCGAGTTGCCGTTCTGATGTAGCCTCGCGTAGTCCTTTGAAAACTAAAGATGGCGCAGAAGTAGCGGGAAAAAATGTGAAATGTTCGACCCCCACCAATCCGGAAATTAGTACAAACGCGCGTAAACCGGGGATACCAAAATCCTCACCGGTTAAAC